TCCTGCACCATCTCCATCAGATACATGACGCTTGGAAGTGTTTTACTGTTTTTGGTCGATATGATTCTGTAATTAGGCCCGTCATAATTGTCAGCACCAGGCCCACTGGGCTCTTAATCTGGCCCTGTGTCTAGTTCCGGGAGCATATAGCCCCCACCTGAGCTGTCTCTCCTAAATCAGTCTGTTCCTTCTCCTTCCTGGAACTCATCTGTTATATGTACATGATGTTCATCCCTATGTCTTATCTATACTCCTTTCACCATTTCACTCCCTTCCTACTACTGTTCTATGAGTATTTGCACGTAAGCACTTACTTTTTAATGTATAAAAACACAACTGACAAAATAAATGTCAGAGGCCTTTTTTTGATAACCAACACGTGGCTGGTGTCTAATTCACGCTTCTTCAAGTGCACTTGAAAATAACAATTTGGGTTCCCCTGAATATAACAAAGATCAAATTGGATCTATATCACTCTGAAGGAACAGTGGGTCCAGTCAAGATAACCTTTTGTTGTCATGGTGATGTTTTTCACTACAGGTCTGGCATAAATTTAAACACAAATTGATCTCTTCCTTGCATATGTTGCTGCTAGCTCCACTCCATAATGTTGAGTTTAATTCTCTGGATTCTAAACATTACCTCTTGGAGTGCAAGAGGCATCTCCAGAGTGTCTCACATTCTCTCCTCATTAAATGTAAAACATTTTCATACTCTACAGAAGGCAATTATCCTCCCACTTAGAGAGCTATTCTAGGATCAAGAATGTTTTACTACCTCAGAAAGGAACCAGCTACAACCAGAGTTGGTCAATGATTTTGGGAAGATGTGCATAGGTGGAAATAAATCCGTTAAGCTTCTTTCATTGTGTTATATGACCTCTCAAGGCTCGATAAGTTGTACTATCGGTTAAATGGTAGCAAGAACTGGGTAAACACTTCTTGCAGGCAGAATGGTCCAATGCCATTTGTATGATCCATGTTTAATTCACTGGGAAACACATCGCAAACTGTTAATGAGATGGTATTTTCAACCTCACTATTTATCAATGTTATTTCCATTTGTGTCCCCGTTCTAACATACATTCTAGTGCTACCTCGAAATTACAAAATTTTGGACGACAGTTCAAACTGACTGTTGCATCAGTGATGGGATTTCCTTTCTGCTGCTTCCACAAATGTTTCTCCTTGATATGTTTCTTTATCCCCAATTAAATATACACTATTGTCATGCATATATGAATATCGGCAAAATCTAGTGTGGCTCAAGCTTGGAAATCTACCGACCCCCTAATTTGGTTGTTCTAGAGAGAGTTGTCAAGAATAAAATTTATGAGGAAATGTCCTCTAGACTTCTCGGTTCTCTGCATCAATTCAATAACAGGTGGTCATCTTGGATGGCACCATGTTTCAGAATGTAGTATTTTACATATGCGTATTGTGGTATCTTGTTATACCTCATTACTATTAGAGTTTGGAAAACTGTGCTTCATAACCCAATGGCACCACATGGTTTGTTTCTGTTCCTATATATGTATGTATTGTTAAAATTATAATAAAAATTATACATTGGAAAAAAAAAATTGCTCATGTGCTCATGATAATGCATTGATAAACCTCAAACACTTAAAGGGATTATATAGTGTAAGAAATACAAAGTTGTATTCCTTACACTATAGTTCCCCCCAACCCCCTCCCAGCGAGGAAAGGGTTAAAAACCAAAAAAAACCAAACAGACTTATATACCCAATTTCAGTGCTGATCTCCCTTGGCAATGGGTCAACACTCCGCTTTCTCCGCCATCGGTGGTTGCTTCAATGCTTTCCTAGGAGGATTTTACTGGTGCTGGATATCCTCATGCAGAGCGTAAGGACATCCAGCAGTAGACGGCCAAAAGTCATTTAACCATCAGGAAGTGCCTATTGTAGATTGGCAGATTGACAGCCACTAGAGGCAGTCTTAGTCCTGCAGTGTAATCATTGCAATTTCTCAAAAGCAGCAATGATTTACATTGCTGGACTAAGGGGGACAGTGACACTGCACTGAGCTGAAGTTGTCTAGCTGCCTATAGTTTCCCTTTAACAAAATACAAATGTAAAACTATTTCCATTTGCTGGCTCAGAACACTAAAAGACTGATCCATGTTGAAATGTGTTTCCTATACGGCAGGGTGCCAGCGCTGTGCGATTTGTTATTTTTATATATATCTATACTGCATAATTGTTGTTTTCTCGTCAGCCATTGGTGCTTTATTGTGTTTAATTTATATATGTTTTTATGTTGCCAAACATATTTTTATTTGGTATGGTATTTTCATTTTAAGGTAGTCAGGAAGCAGTTGCTGTTGACAAATTTGCTTTGAATCTAGAAGCCAGCTAAAAAAAAAAATTAGGAGTCTTTTTTTTTTTTAACTTTCAAAGCTTTATTTTCAATGACAAAAATACAATTCTTAAAGAGACAGGGATAGTCACCAGGATCACTGCACTTGAATGTAGCCTGTCCCTATAGCCTTTTCAGAGAAAAGTTGGCTACTGAAGTGCTTCCTATCCGTGTGCATTACCTACATTCAGCATCTCCATACACTACATGGAGGCGTTCAACGTTCCCCATAGAGATACATTGATTCAATGAATCTCTATGAGGAGATGCTGATTGGTGCATTGTTTTGCAGCACATTTGCAATAACTTCCCAATACTTGTCTATAGGAAAGCACTGGATTGGCTGAGATCATCAAGTTTGATCTCAGCCACAGATGCCGAGCCAGCACAGTGTGGGGGAAAAAGGCAAGTATGAATACTGTTCCCATAAGATCGGAGAGGGTCTGGTTACCTACAAACACACACACACACAAAACATGACAGACTCACAAATTATGTGTTTTAATTCAATTTTATTTCACCCAGCATCCCTACCATTGGAGTGGATCGGTTTTCACTGGGTGTGAAGCAACTACTTCGGTTTTTTTTCCATTGCACTGGATTTTTCTTGTTCGCTAGATAAAACTACTGAACACTGACCAGCCCCCTGGCTCATTAACTTCAAAGGAAACCATAGAATTAAGTGCTCTTCCTGTGTGGCGTATTTTCGAACGCCACGTGCAGGAGAAAATGGTTGCCATCTTGTTCACACGAAAAGAGGCAGCGGGTCTAAAATCGGACACTCAACTTCCCGAATGCCGGTCAAACTTTGCGAACGCCTGCTTGCCTTCACCGACCAGCCAGGAGAGTGCTATTCGGTAGTTTTGTTGCCACGAACTAGGGGAACAAACACTACCTATGAGCCAGGGGGTACCGGGTGTGGATTTGTTCGGTTTACAGACTTTCCGAAATAGACCGACCGTACAACCTAAACTCAAGTAACTTTTTCTGGGCAGGAGCCTCGTGTGCGGTCGGTCAAACTAAGACCTCCATGAAACTCTTAAACTCCTGATCCAATCTGGGTAATTTTTTTTAATATGTTGGTCACCAAGATCAGGGCTATCAAGTGACATAACTTTTTGTGGGGTTGCAAGAAAGTTTGGGGTACTTTCTGAGTTTTGTGAAAATGTGTGCTTTTTGGGTTTGGAGATAACTGATATTCAGCATAGTGCTTGATTTAATTATCTCCCAAGTACAGGGGAAGAATTGGATTACTGTTGGACCTGAGAGCTAATAGAACTGTAAATAGTAACTTGTCACTGACCCCTCTCAGGTCCAGTGGGGAATGCCCCTGGAATGTCAATGGAAACCCTGTATGTTTTTAACTGCATAAAAGCAAGACATTTAGCCTGAATAAAGCAGTCCTGTTATACCCTTCATCTAATCTAGGCTGATGTTTGGGTAACGGTCTACCCTGCTGTGGAGAATCTGCTTGGATGCTGTATTTTGTATGGAACGTTCGAATCAACACCCGAACTGCGATCTATAATCACTCAGGCTCCAGCAGGTCGGGAGGAAACAGACGAACAGGTATCTGCAATACCAGCATTCTAACACTGGGGTCCAGTGGCAGCCGGCTGCGCATACGGTAGGCGGACGGTGAAGGAGCTTTGATGTTCCTGATCTGTTCCCTCACATTCTGCCTAGTAAGGCGGTGGCTAAAATTATCTTCAAATTTCGGCCCTGGCATCACTAAGTGGTGTGTGAGGGAGCAGAACAGGAAGATCACAGCTCCCTCGCCAACCGCCTACAATACGCGATGCTGGCCGCCTCGGAGAGAACGGACTCACAAATCCCAAGAACCAGGAAAAAATGTTGCCATGGCACCCTGATGCCTGAGATTTGTCGAGCCCTGATGTACATAGCGTTTAAAATTTACTTGAATCACCCACACTTTATTTTTAGATTGTAACCTTGTTTTGGCATGGCCCTCTTCACCTATTATTCTTGTATGTCATAGGTATTTTGTTAGATGTAAATGTTTGTCTTGTTTACTTATTATACAGTGCTGCTAGAATATGTTGGTGCTATTTTCTTAATTATGCCAGAATCATTAGCACCAAAAATCTATTTAAAGAATTGTTACTGTACTACGTGTCAAATTGCAAGAACTGCAAGACCATAGGAAACTTCCCTTAATGGAGATTTTAAGTTAAATAGAGCAAGGACAGAGTACGTGTACCAGTTTATAAAAGCTCTGCCTCACCCTTACATAGTCAGACATTTGCCTCAAGGCTTAAATACATCTGAAGAGTTTCATTAATAACTAAAATGCTATATTTATAGAACATAGGATTCATACAACCACATGTGTGCCTCCAGAAAATGGAAAAGAAATTGAATAGTAGTCCTTTTATTTGAATTCTAAACTTTATTCCCTCCTTTTAACAACCCAAGCTCCTTAAACACTCGGTGTTTCAATTCATATGCGCATAGTGTGTATTCAGTCTCTGACAGCTTTATCCTGGCCTGGAAACTCTGTATCAACTCAATGGAGTGGTGGTATGTAGGTGAGCAGGGAGGTGATTTGTCAAGTACTTTAATGACTGCAGGGTCCTGAAGCACTAATCCATGTTGGCCACATTATTTATTAAGGGACAGGGACTGCATTCCTTTGGCTGGTGCTCCCGTTGAATCTTTTACTGCAAAAAGAAATATAATCTCTTAGCGTCTTATAGTTCAAAAGTTTCACTGTCATATGTGATAGATAAAAACAAACATTTTACGGTAACACGCTCAATAAAAATGTTAGTCAACAATTAGATAGGAAGAATTCTAAGCATGAGTCCGAGGCATCTTGTCCCAATATGGGCATATCTATTGCACGCCCAAGTAAAATGTCTGTCTACATAGTGCAGTTATAGTACCTCCCCTAAAGTGTGCTTTGACATGCAACATGCCAAGTGATCTGACACCAAGCGAATGAATGAGGCCCAGACAGGGACAAAACGGATATTTGTAGAGTGGACAGGCAACTTCATCTTCAGCAATATCCAGAAGGACCAGTAGAGCAGCAGGCACCCAAAAGACCTAGGTAAGTCAAACCATTTCAAAACGAGAATATGTACATTTTCCTCTTCATACATTCTAGTAAAGTATTTAGGATGTTTCTATAGGGAATTTGTGTATATGAATAAACAAATATAAATTAGAACACAAAAAGATGTGGAATAGTGGCGCTATATAATTAGTGAGTTGTGGTTTTAGCTGCTATATACACTCCGTGGGTACTCCTTATAACCCACCATACATAATTAAACACCAAAAAGAACAGAGAAAACTTTGGATCTAGAAGGCTCTAAAGGCTCAGATCTTCAGTTCCTCATGAGTGTAGCGCTAAATATATAGTGAAATTTTCAGTGAAAGGACAGTGCTAACACACGCACTTACCCTATATATTGTGCTTTAGTTTTCTTAGTGATATATAAAAAATAGAAAACATAGAAAGAGTACAAATAATAGTGTAGTATGTTAAATAAATATCCAAAAAAAGTCCTTTAGTTGTGAATGATGAATTGAAATGAACTCACATTTTTTAGAGCCTTTTATAGTTATAAGGCTCTAAACTTCCAGGTGTCTGTGTCTTTTTAGGGTAGATCACACGACCCGTCTCTCAAGGTGAAAAAAAGAGCGTAACTTCCTCTCCACGTTGCATGGAAAAAAGACACAGATATCCCCAATCTAAATGTAGTATTTTAGATACCGATATAAATCAATGTAAATAAAATACAAAATTGCTCACTTCTTTAGAGCCTGTGGTAACTGGCTCTAAGTATTTTTAGCCTAGTGTCAGTTAGTAGGGGTGACACTTCCCCTTCCTGGAATCACTTGCGCAGAGTGTAATTCAATGGTGGATAAAAAATATATGTTTATTTAAGAAACTATTAAAAATGTATATATACTTCTAGAAAATAATAAAAACAAGTAAATATAATACAAATGTATTGAGTGGTCTGATAACAGGTCCACCTGGTTAGCCAAAACGCGTTTCACCGAAAAAACGGCTTCCTCAGTCAGCTCCTGATAAGTAAAAGTCACTAATTATTTATAAAATATGCATTTTAAATATCAGATTAACACAAAGGCCTTCTTTGATACATTGCTAAATAATATTGATTGTTGTATGGAGACATTTGTTGTTATATGTACATTGTTATCATTGTCCTTTCTCCTTTCTTGTGTTTTATTACTATGCTACTGATATATTTATCTTTTGATATGCCCTGAGTATGGTTGTGGAGGAAATGGACTACAAAGAAATAGGTGTTACTTCAATTAAATGAGATCGAGGTGCCATTGCACCATGGGACATGTAGTACCCGAAACCGGAAGTGACGCGACAGCATTTTGCCCGCGAAAACCGGAAGTGACGTCAATCAACACAAAGCATGATGGAACCTGTAGTACAGACGGGCGGAAATGACGTGACGCCATTCTGAGGACACCAGACGCAACTAATACAAACGAGGAGAGGAAATTTTAGGCGGGAATTTAGAACATTTAAAAGGGGACTCAACCCATGACACCATCAGGAGCTGACTGAGGAAGCCGTTTTTTCGGTGAAACGCGTTTTGGCTAACCAGGTGGACCTGTTATCAGACCACTCAATACATTTGTATTATATTTACTTGTTTTTATTATTTTCTAGAAGTATATATACATTTTTAATAGTTTCTTAAATAAACATATATTTTTTATCCACCATTGAATTACACTCTGCGCAAGTGATTCCAAGAAGGGGAAGTGTCACCCCTACTAACTGACACTAGGCTAAAAATACTTAGAGCCAGTTACCACAGGCTCTAAAGAAGGTGAGCAATTTTGTATTTTATTTACATTGATTTATATCGGTATCTAAAATACTACATTTAGATTGGGGATATCTGTGTCTTTTTTCCATGCAACGTGGAGAGGAAGTTACGCTCTTTTTTTTCACCTTGAGAGACGGGTCGTGTGATCTACCCTAAAAAGACACAGACACCTGGAAGTTTAGAGCCTTATAACTATAAAAGGCTCTAAAAAATGTGAGTTCATTTCAATTCATCATTCACAACTAAAGGACTTTTTTTGGATATTTATTTAACATACTACACTATTATTTGTACTCTTTCTATGTTTTCTATTTTTTATATATCACTAAGAAAACTAAAGCACAATATATAGGGTAAGTGCGTGTGTTAGCACTGTCCTTTCACTGAAAATTTCACTATATATTTAGCGCTACACTCATGAGGAACTGAAGATCTGGGAGATATAAATATCCACCTAGATCCAAAGTTTTCTCTGTTCTTTTTGGTGTTTAAATATAAATTAGCCTTGCACTCACTGCTCTGGTGATTTGAATACCTAATTATTGCCTCAAGTCTTTTGTAGTAAGCAAGGGTAAACGAATACTCACAATCTTTTAATATCTTCTAGCTGTATTGCAAAGTAAGGTTGACATTTCAGTACACAAATGAACTTGCATCAGGGCTCAAAATTTCCTCTTGCCACTGGCTACCAGGAATTCACATCTGGTAAGTGTGCCATACTGGTTACAGTGGCAGGTAACCTTTAAGGCTTGGCTTGTAGTGCCAACTGAACTAGGGCGGTGCTCATCAGCTGAGAATGCTCAGCTGACACTTTGACATATGCATGAGTAAATACAATCCCTCCCCAATCCTGTGGCAGGAAGAAACAAATGTTCAAAAAGACACTAACATTTTTTTTCTTCTTCTTTTTTCTTTGCGGCCTCCTCCCTCTGTTTGCGGATGATTGCTAGTCGGGCTAAGTCAGCTTTTGCCTGGTCTGTTTTTCCAGCTAAATGCATCTTCATGTAACGTTCTTTCGCCTTTTGCTTTTCTATCTCCTCCCTGTCCCAAAAATAAAATGAAGCATACATTATTTAAAATCACAAAAGCCTAGCAAAGATATCAGAATGCAACATTTAGAGGTTTGTAAAATATGTTATTATACATTACAGTGAGTACTCTGTGTTTTAATTTCACTAAATATTTCATCTGACCGAGTAAAAAAATGAAAAACTTTATTTTTAAAACCCCACAAACCGATAAGGAGACATAAAAAAAAAAAAAAAAATTATATAAAATTACAGGACTGCAAGTACAGGGAAACTGAATTCATTCATAAACGCAGTTTTACGCAACTCTTTATCAAAACCACAGCATCCATAAACGGTTCCTCCCCAAAATAAAAATGTTTATCAAGATTACAAACAATTTATGATTTTGTATTTACACATTGCATGTCATGTATAGATGGCCCTTGGGACATTTCACGGTTAATTTTGTAATCAGTAATGGATTTGTCTGAACCCAGGCATATTCAGACAACAGGAATCAGCCACTTTACCAAACAAACACAGAAATCAATGACTGATCTTCCAGGATGTATTGGAAGAAGCAGGACAGGCAGGGGCTAACGGAGCACACTCAAGGACTGTGGCAAAGAGGGAGCACCCAAAAGGCAGGCATGAATAAATGTACTGCTGCAAAAGAAATTAAATCTGTGTCGTGTTTGCAGGGTGTATTTGCCCTCTTTACACCGCTGGACTTCAGACAATGAAGATCAACTAATATAACTACTCACACCTCTAATACTACAACTCTTACTACAGTTACCATGCACAATTCAAATTTTTTTTTTTTTTTTAAACAATCACGATCCCCGACAGTGTGTGAGCTGTTAAATGAAGTAACAGCAATATGAACCACCAATAAGTATTGAGGTGTGTTAGGTCAGAATGATGATGTAATATAGCAGGAACTTAACTTTAGTTAATTTTTCACTGAATCTTTTAGTTCAGCTTTCGCTGCAATTCATTGTTCAGTTAATAACCCCTACAGTGAAGCAGCCAATACCAAAGAAAAATGTACCAGACAGAAAGAATCTGTAAGAATAAGGTCTTACAAATAAACCTGGATCAATTCAATGAGAAGGGACAAAAAAACAAAACCAAACAAAAAAAAAAACCCACCACAACAAAAAGAGAGACATACATTTATAAAACAGCCACATACACACAAAGTAGGGGTTATTGAAATACCCCCCAAAATACAAACCAAATAACACTGTGCTGCTGGCCTTGTACCTTTTTGCTCAAAGCAGGGTTAAATACAAATGCACAAGGTAAAAATAAATAAATAAATGAAAATCAAAGAGCAACTAGATACAAAATGTGCACACACAGTGCTGCATACAACTTATTGAAGGACTAAAAAAAACCTTTTGGGTTTTCCCTTTATCAATACTAGAAATGCACTGATAAAGGAGAAACATTAAACATTTGTTGTTTAGTCCTTTAATGAATTGTATACAGCACTATTTAGCATCTAGTTGCGCTTGATGTTTTTATCATACACGTGTATAGAACTATTGAATTCTGGTGTTTCAATCTGACCCATTGCCACACGTGTATAAAATCAAGCATCCAGACACGCAGTATGCATTTACAAACATTTGTGAAAAAAAAAAAAAAAGTCATTCTGACATTCTGAAGAGCTAAGATGTACTGTGACCGGATGCCACCTTTAGCAATAAGTCAGTTTGTGAAATGTCATCCCTACTAGATATTCCACAGTTAGCTGTAAGTGGTATTCTTGGAAAGTGAAAATGTTTAGGAACAGCAGCAACTCAGCCACGAAGTGGAAGACCATGCAAAGTCACAGAGCTATAGTGCGGAGGTGCATGGTGCGTAAAAGTTGTCAACGCTCTGCTAATTCCATAGCTGAAGAATTCCAAACTTTCACTAGCATTAATATCAGTACAAAAAAAAAAAAAAAATTGTGCGGCTGGAGCTTAATAGAACACCTGGATGAACTGGGACGGAGATTGCGAGACAGGCCTTCTTGTCTAACATCAGTGCCTGAGCGAACAAATGCTCTACTGTGTAAATAGGCAAAAATTCCAACAGAAACCCTCCAATATCTTATGGAAAGTCTTCCCAGAAGAGTGGAAGCTGTCATAAAAGTCCCCGTTGGTGTGATGGACAGGTGTCCCAATACTTTGGTCTCAATAGATCAATTAAGAAAAAAAAAAAAAAAAAAAAAAGCGGTCATTAAAGAGTACCTTTTGTATGTTTAAATATTACCTTTCTCTTCTAGATAGTTCTTTAGGTAATTCCACATCAACCTGGGTGACCTTCTTGGCAGTTTGTGCTACTCGGTTAGGATTTTCTATATCTATCAGACCTTCTACTCCTTTGCGCTTTTGCTGGAACAAAAACCAAATATTTTGTATAACTAGCCATTCAAAATACAGAGTGTGTGACAAAAAAAATAATCATGCAGTGATAAGCGGGTACAGATGATATATTATAAAATTAGACACGCCGGTACAGTACAAGGAGCAAGTTTTATGTGAACAGCTTAGCGAGAATGCTCAAACGTTAACCTCTGTGGGAGACAATGGAGAATGAATGGAAAAAAAATAAAAAATAAATAAAATTAAATCATATGGATGACTGAATCATCATTGAAAATAAAGATTATTTTGTGAATAATTAATAATGGACTAGGAGTTGATATAACAATGTCAGGTAGGAAATGGTGTTCTATAACTTAAAATTAAAGAGACACTAAACTGCCCAGATGCAAAATAAAAATCACTGTTTAGTAGATATACCCCCCAATGAAAAATGAATGTGTTTAATTTTGCATTTTGTCATAGGAGGGTATATTTAAAAACAGCTTACACAAATATCAAGTATAGAAGGTTTAATTCAGTGTCAGGAGCTTGCAGCAGCAGGTGTCCCGCATGACCCAGCAAAGTTTTTAAACTGCAGTTAAAGAGACTCCACTAACTAAATTCAATAAAAATAAAATTAAAATAAATCTATAAATAATCACCATTTAGTATATATATCCCAATGAAAAATATGCATGCATTTTTTCATTGGGGAATATTTAAAATCTCTTATCTAAAGGATATCTAAAATCTCTTATCTGAAGTCCTCCCCTTCTTCCTCAGTATAGCTCAATGAGAAGTCTTTGCAACACAGGTGCTGTGCATAATTGCCTGACTCCGGAGTTCAGTGGTCTCATTGATAGCCAGGGCGGTTAATTTAAAATAGTGTCAATTTCTACTAAAAATCGCCACTTTTTGTAAAATAAATTAATAAAAACAAAGACACTATTCACATAAAGAACTGCAGCAAGCTTTGGTGATGTGGAGTGTCTCATTGAGCAATGGTGTGGGTGAATGGGAATGCTATAAGGAAGAGGTAATGTTGCTTAGCCCCTTGTTTCTTGTTTTTAATTTAAATGTGAGAAGCAAAGAGAGTCTCTACGCATTGGATATTAAGTGTGTGCATGCGCGTGTGTAGTACTTCACTCGTTCATTTCAAAGGGATCAGAAGAAAAGCCAGGAAATTCCAGATTCTTTCTGGCATATGCAAGAGGTCATTGTGGACCTAGGTGATGCTGGATTCCTACAGACGCAAGGAGAGTAAATCAGGGTGTCATACAGTATAACTGCAATTAAAATTGGTGATCATGTACCTTTGGTGGAGTTGCTGATATCTCACCTGGGGTCCGGGCCCACTACCTTGTCTTAACAGCAGCAGGAAGCTGAAGGCTGCAAAAGCAGCTCCTAGCATAATTTAGGTAAGAAATCAAACTGTTCTAAAATGGTTTAACTATTAGGAAGGGGGCCCCGGGGCTCTCCTGGCACCATAGCCACTGCAGTGCCCTGTATTGGTTATGGTGTTTTGAGTGTTGCTTTAATTCCATTGGTGATTACTGATTTACAACTTTGTTGCACTTTTTCAGATTATGACAGTTTGATAAATCTGTTGAACATTAATATCAACTAGTTTGAGATTATATATATTAGAATCCAAACATATTTACATGATTTATGGTAATTGCCCTTTACATACCAGATATATTCATGCACTATGAAGTTATATGTACAACATACATTACAAGTATTGTTAGTACAAGGTGATACCTGATAATCTTCATCATCTTCATCATCACTTTCATCTGAACTCTGGTCCTTTTTTGGCTTGGTGGGGTCGCCGCCAGCAGCACCACCGCCACCTTCCTCCAATTCTGCTTCCTGAGAATTAGAGAGAGAGATAACTATTGAATTTACTACAGGACTGACTACCAAGGGTCCATATAAATGAGGTGGGAAACAGAGGACCTAAAATTGGATTAAAATTAGAGTGTGAATAGACACAGAATAGGAAAGGACGTATGTGGGCTACAAAAAGCAGTGCTCATTAGAGATAAACAAACTAGGTAAATAATATCAGGGAATGAAGCGCTATTACATGTGAATAATGCATTCAAATATGATTTTAAATAACAGCAAAAACAAGAACATATTGTACACACTCACCTGTGCCCTTTCATGTTCTGCTTTAATCTGGGCATCAATCTCCTCTGGACTAGTGTATTGCCTCACACGACCTTTATGGCCTCCTTTTCTACCTGCGTAAAATAAAGACATGTGGTGTTTGATTTAGGATGGACTGCATTTTTAAAGTAAATTTAAATTTTACACGGGCAACGCCTTTGTGTTCTTTCATTTCATTATTTATGTAATGTTGCATGTATAAAGATTTAAAACAATATAAACAAAGCGGGAAAAATTATGTGATATACACACATATTTCTATCATTGGAAGATTAATTTAATGCATGGCTTTTATACTGTTAAGTATTTGGCAATGTCCTATTAGTGCTGCAGAGAAATGATGTTTTATCATTGAGAGGCTTGCATTTAGCACTTCAGTTTTGTAGTTTAGCTGAATTGTATTAACAAAAATCTCTGGTAAATGAGCAGCCATTTTATTAAGGCTGATGGAGAAATTGTAAATTTAATAACAATATAAAAATAATTAAAACGTATCTGTGGTATTAGAATTCAGTTCCATTAATTGGGATAAATAGGCAGGTTGAAGAAGCATTAAATACTTTACAAAGATTCCATGAAAATGTTAAAGCCCTTAATGAGAACAGAAACCACTCCCTTTTGATGGATTATATCCTAGAAAGTGTACTGCCAGTGATGCACAATGCAAAGTTCTCCCATGTATTGTAAAAAATAATCTTGGCAGGGATACGGTGCAACTTGTGGTACAGACATGTTCTCACATGTACAGCCAGGTCACCCTTAATTTTAGCAAGTTTCCAAGCCATTTATTTTCTTTAGAAACACCAGAATCCCTACACTTTATATGGAATCTTAACCTTTTCAGTGTCTTTTTTTTTTTTTTTTTTTAAACAGACATTGATATGCTGAGAATGTAACAGTGCTTCTGATTTAGACATGTTGGGTATTTCTATATATTTTCATTAACTGTTGCAGTTGAAAACAAACCAATCATAATAAATCAGTAATCTCAGATCCACAAAACCTCCTCGGTGCTACTCATTTTCCAGCCTGTCCTTTCCTGCCGATCGCTCAATCTATGGCGGTTCTACCCGGTCCACACCACCATTTTGGATTCTACCATAAAAGTAGTTAAGAAAGTATATTTTGAAGCTTGAACAACTTATATAGCTTTATATTTCTGCAGATTCTACATATAACGTGGACTTAATTAGTACTTGTAGACAAATGAGAAATATCAATATTAAAAAGTGTATGTAAAATCCAGCTCCTGACAGTCAAAAGAACTGGTAGCTACATGTTAATTATCTTGTGGAATCAAACATAAATCAAAATAACAACCTAAATGATTTATAAAAGTATTAAGAAATATTCTTCATAAATTACATACACAAAAACATTTAATCACTTCACAAACCTGTTGCAATTTACCTCGAATAAGCTTGTCACTATATCTATCCATCCATCTCTCTCATTTAGTGTGCTCCTTACAAAAGCTTACAGAAATATAGTCATGAATAAGCAAGCGAATAAAATTAATACTAGACTTACATAAGCAAGTGGGAAAATGCATGTGTAGGTAAGGGTAATAAACATTTAGATTTAATAACAAATCAAATCACCAGGGGTGGTGATAAACGAGTATATAAAAATAAATCTCAAGCTGGAATTCTGAAATAAACCATTTAAAGACTTTGAAATTAGTGTTTCCTGGTCTAATCCATCTTTTGCTTATACTGGATTTGATAACATGTTTATTGTAACAATGTTTCAGCCAAGCATGTTACTCATGCCAGACCTACATATATGTGTGCTCACATGACAGTTCCATATGGGAAGCATGGCAGGTACAGCGAGCTCCCAGTTATACCGATATAGCTTTGCTAGTATCACAGGATACAGATATAGCTTTGCTAGTATCCAGAGCTGCACAGGTACACCTGGCATCCATATGCTGAGCAATCATTTATTGCTAGTTACATTGTAACAGAGGCTTAAAAAAAGAGTCATGTGTCCATCAAGTTCAGCTTCTCACATTTATTTTTGCAGTTGATCCAAAATAAATGACAAAAACACCGTTTGAGGCGCTTTCCAATTTTGCAACAAACAATAAAAAATAAAAATAAATTATTCTTGACACTAAAATGGCAGAAAGCATTTATCCATTTATCATTGGACCAAGAAGCGGTGACCCCACTAATTAAAAATGATTTATCTCTGGATGTATGTCACCAGGGCTGCACATGATCCCCAGTCCGCCTGCTGGCTGGCCATGACTGGGAGAGGAGTCCACAGACAGCTGTCTATGGCTGGGATCCTGCGTTACATTAATCGTACTGGAAACAGCTCTCAGTACAGCCAACATGTAATATAGTATATGTAACATAGTATGGTATATTTAATAAATGTAATACATGTAATAATTGTAATATATTATATGTAATAATATATTATACAGTATATGTAATATATTATATGTAATACAGTATATGTAGTAATATATTATACAGTATATGTAATATATTATATGTAATACAGTATATGTAATAATATATTATACAGTATATGTAATATATTATATGTAATACAGTATATGTAGTAATATATTATACAGTATATGTCATACATTGTTATACGGTATATGTAATATATTATATGTAATACGGTATATGTAATATATTATATGTAATACAGTATATGTAATAATATATTATACAGTATATGTAATATATTATATGTAATACAGTATATGTAATAATATATTATACAGTATATGTAATATATTATATGTAATACAGTATATGTAATAATATATTATACAGTATATGTAATATATTATATGTAATACAGTATATGTAGTAATATATTATACAGTATATGTAATATATTATATGTAATACAGTATATGTAGTAATATATTATACAGTATATGTCATACATTGTTATACAGTATATGTAATATATTATATGTAATACAGTATATGTAATCCCAGCTCCCGGCACTCACACTGTGCCGTGACAAGCCATCATCCCATGTGCCGGCCGGTGAATGTCCCCCGTCCCCCCCCCCATTCCGATCGGCCGCTCCCTGTGTGCTCCCCCCCCCCGGTGCCCCCCGGTCCCCCCCGGCTCTCCCCGGTCCCCCGTTACCTCTATTCGGCATGTTCCCCCCGCTGTGTCTGGCAATCCCCCGCCTTGGCGAGCACGCGGCTCCGGACTCTGTCTCGGGCTCCCGGTGATCGGCTGATCTCTCGGACTAACCGATAGCGGGTGCAGCTAGCCGAGAGAGCCGAGATATCAGGCGGCAGACCGGCTCCGGGGCGCTGTGTCCCGGGTAACACTGGGCTGGAGAGCCGACAGGATCTGAGCTCGGCGCTCTTTGTTTTCCCGGCAGGCACTGCGGTGGACAGCTAAAACTGACGCAACGTGGGCCGCCTCGGCGATGGCTCTCAGTCCCAGCCTCAGTCTGCCTCCGCTCAATAGGCAGGCCCAGGGTGCAGCGCGGTAACCGTAATGGCGTCATTTCACAGCGACCGGAAACCCAGTGAGAGGCTAGGCCGCGTGGTGACGTCATAAGTGCGCGCACTCAGAGGCAACAGTAGCGGGCCAGAAGCCACAGTGTATACAGCCTGGTGTTTGCAGTGAGGCTCGCAGAGGGTTCTGGGACAGGGCGGCAGTGAGGGCGATCCCCATCTGTGCTCAGTTACTGATTATTAACTCAGGGCCGGATAGCGGACAACATGCCCAAAGTTAAACGGAGTAAGAAATCTCCACCGGACGGCTGGGAGCTGATCGAGCCCACCCTGGATGAGCTGGACCAGAAAATGAGGGAAGGTGAGCAACATGTTGCACACTGACTCCCACACACAGTATTATGGGACATGTAGTCCACAACACCTGGAGTGCCGAAGGTGGTCTATTCCTGCACCTAGAGTATTGTTCAATGGGATTGTAGGAATCAAAGTCCAAATGGCGAAATCTGAGGTTAAAATTACTCAAAACTATGATAATAGAGGAGTGGGTGATTTTAATTTTTTTTTAATTTTTTTTTTATACATTTTATTTTTTTTTCGTTCCAAATCAGCTATTTTTGCTCAGAGTCCCATTTGGATTTCAGTTCACTAGAACCAAGAGTTTAGTAAATAATTTAGCTCGGTAATGTCTGAATAGAAATCTGAATGGTTAAAGATAGGCGAATATATTGGAAAGCTTCTCTAATTTTAACCCGGCCTTATTTTTCTTCAAAACATTGCATTTATGTTGCATCACTTTCAAATATTTGTTTATCTTGGCCTTACTATGAAGTTACCTTTCAAAAAAAATCTTTTTTTCTCATTCAGCAATTTTATGTAATATTTTTTTTATTCACATGAGCAACATTTGTTTAAAAACAAACATTTGCAATACTCATTTACCAAAATAAGTATAGTTTAAAGGCACACGGTAGGCACCAAAATAACTTTAGCTTAATGAAGCAGTTTTGGTGTATCGATCATGTCCCTGCAACCATTTTTTTTTTTTTCTTTTCATGCAGGCTGCGTCAGTCACAGCCAGTAGAGGTTCAGCTAGGGCTGCATAAACTGAAGCAAACTTTATTTTTCACTCCTAAATGGCAGAGCACAAGAGCAGTGAGACTGCAGTGTCATAATCTATACACTAAAACTGATTTAAGCTAAAGCTGTTTTGATGCCTTTCTTGTTGCTTTAAATTTGTATAAATCAAACTCAGTGCTTAAAATTACAATACTTTGTATAATTTAGAAATAAGAATTAAAATAGGAAATTGTATACACTATAGTGTCAGGCATACAAACATGTATTTCACTATAGTTGTAAAAGTGCTGTAATTGTCCCGCCCTCCTTGGCTGAGATCATTAAATTTGATCAGGTGACTATATCCATAGTGTCCCTCTAAGTGGTCTGCTGGGATATCTCTCTCCCCCTCAAGTCAGTGGATAGTAAATACAGATCTGCACACATCAGTCAAGCATTAGACCTGCTTTTCCCACAGAAAATAGATTCTTGATTGGCAAATGAGTTCAACAAAGAATTTTTTATTTATTTTTTGCCTCATTTTATTTTAAACATGGATTCCTTGGTATGTCTGCTGAAACACAACTTAGGCAGAGGTGCAAAACCAGTGAACCACTTATGGACACTGCTCTACCTATTTTGTGTATTGATATTTATTTGTGATGATATGCTATTGTTTTCCTCTTTTGGTTGCTTAGCTTTGTATTATTGATTATTTTCGCCATCCCACTATAACCAGTCAAGCAGTTTTACACTTAGCTGGGTCACTAGGTCCAAGCCTCATTTCACATCTACATAAAGTGTAACTTCTTATTTGGATAGTATTCGGTGGTTGAGAGATTATGCTCTCTTGCCCATTAAATTATGACCAAACACATTTGGAAGTAGGGTATCTGAAGAATATGCTGGACCAGGAGTGCATTGGGGACTCAGATAGGAATCAGAGTATATAGTTGTGGTTATTACTTTTACAGTGGAACTTCGGAACTCTAAATTAGTTCAGATTTGTTAGAGAACCAAATCAACATTTCCCATAAGAATTAATGTAAATTTGATTAATCCGTTCCAGCCCCCTAAAATTACAGCATTTTAACACAAATATTATAATATAATAATGCCTTGCGTGCATAAAAAGCAAAGGAAAAGAAACACAATGTAACTTCACTTTGGCGTAAGAAGAGATATTATTGTATGAATGGGGATACGTAACTGTTCTTATGGCTTTTAAAATGTGTCTAATTGAACATGTTTGTAGCATGATTTGTTGGGGTACCGAAGATCGGTCGCGTACCAAGACATTTTTTACTCATAATGTTTGTTCGACTTCCGAATTGTTTGAGAATGGGACTGTTAGAGTTCCGAGGTTCCACTGTATTAAGGTTCTCTATGGAGAATTGCCCTTGCAGCTTCAGTAGTAAAGGCCAATGAATCAAATTTTAGGAAATATCAAGATGGCAATTGACTTTCTCTGGTGTCAGAAACAAGTCTGAGATTAGCAACTAGATCTGTGTGGAGGTATTAAAGGAACACTTTAGTTTTGGGAATAGAGACCTGTATTACTAACAATAGTGTTCCTCTGTCTTCTTCCACCTCCACCCCCCTCCCCTTCCTCTTCAAACTAGCTTAGAATTGTTTTGGGACAGCATTGAAGGTCTCACTGATCATAACCACCACTCTGATAATGTGGATATGGTAAAATTAATCTGTTGTCTTTTGAAACTTATATCTCACTGCTATGCATTTTTTTTTTTTTTTGTCTCTGTTCTGTTACAGCTGAAACTGAACCTCACGAAGGAAAGCGTAAAGTGGAATCATTGTGGCCTATTTTCCGAATTCATCATCAGAAAACGCGCTACATATTTGACCTTTTCTACAAAAGGAAGGCCATTAGCAGAGGTTTGTTTTCATTCCCAAATCCAATCTTGCATACAGTTTAATATCTGGAATTCTTAATATAAAATGTAGGAACTGTAGAGCATTAACTCAAGCTTCAAAATTAGATTTTTGTTTTAGCAAACAGAATACAAATGCTACAAAAATAGTTTTGGCTCATTAATTTTTGTAATGAAAGCAGCAGTATAACTGTTTGCTGAGATGGGATTCAGGTTTTAATTTTTTATTTATTTATTTATTTTTTTTGTAGTTGGTAGCACATTTCACCCAGAAAACATGGTGGTGGTAACCTAATGTTTAAAAAGTCGTGTATTGCAAAATCCAAAAAATGTTTAACTATTACCATACCATTATAGTACTTTTTGCAATCTAATTTACTTGTGCATATTCTGTTACCCAGGACAAACACTTATTCAGAATAGCTTCTTTACACTTAATAAATAACCAATTAATCTTAAAATATTTATTACTTCCAGAAAACACTGATTGTATTTTGTAAATGGAATAAATGTTTGTGTTCCTGTAGTAGATTTTTTTTTAATTTTTTTTATCAGCTTTGTAATGGGATAACTCAGCTGGAAAATGCCCAAACGGCAGCTAAATAATGAACTTGGAGAACTTTTTTTTTAAAGGAACACTCCTTACTTTTAATTTTACTGGAGGTAATGGATGTTGTTCTCTTATGGTATTAAACGGTATTAGAACAGTTTAACCCAAAAGTGCTTTACAGCTCCTGTCCTGCTGGACCCTCTGCCTCATGCTGCAGAAGCATCAGTGGGACATCCGTGATGGGCTGAGAACATTGTGTAAGATTCCAACTCAGGCGCTTCAACAACTTAATTCAAATTAAGTAGTTCTGGTGACCAGATTGATCCTCTTTTAAAGCGGCTGCTTTATAATTATGGTTGCTGTTTGCTATAAAGAATTGTTAATCAGTGGTGTGTGGGTTTTTTTTTTTTCCTCAGAATTGTATGATTACTGTATCAGAGAAGGATATGCTGATAAAAACCTAATTGCAAAGTGGAAGAAACAAGGATATGAAAACTTGTGCTGCTTGCGTTGTATACAGACACGAGACACCAACTTTGGAACAAACTGTATTTGCCGGGTGCCGAAGAGCAAGCTGGAAGTGGTAAATATTAAACATTGTTTTTATTTAACTGTTTAACTTATTGAACGATTGGAATCTGTTTGAGGGTTTGTTCTATTTTTTTTTTCCCTTTTGGTTCTCACAAAGCTTTTTATCTTGAACAAAATAAAAAATGAATCTGTAAGCTATTGCAAGGTCAGTTATGTAATAAGCCATTTTAGGATTTTTTTTTTTTTTTTTTTTTTTAAATCAGATGAACATACTTAGCAGTTGTTATAGATCATAGCCACCTGTTAACTGCAACTGTCTATGCAGACTGTGGCTGCAGCGACTGCATGAGGGGCTCCCTTGCACTCCAGAGATGTGATATAACTTCCTGCTGGTTGTGAATGACAGGATTATTCACAAAAGTGAGATTTTCAAAGTAAATTTTTCAAATTTAAGGTCAAACTAGCCTAACTTAAAAATGATCTATGTCAACAATGCTTTCGTTTTGGCTACCCTAGTTTAAGTAAAGTGTCTCTATTGCCCTTTGTGCTCCCCCGTATAGTATCCTTTTGAAATTCACTAAGTAACCGTGTTGGCGAGCCCTAAAGATGGCCTGCTGTATGGCTATTATGCAGAGCTTGCTTGATTTCTATAACTTTAGGATCACAGCTTTGCCTTTAATATTGGTCTGTCTCTTCCTCAAAATGTGTAGTGTTGCATTTGTTGATTTTTTTTAAATGCTGTAATACAAATGTTTGGCAATTAGGTGCATTTATAAGAAACACTTACTTTAGTTGAGGCTTGTAGTTCATGTAGGTGTTCACGAAAGTACACTTTGAGGTTTTTTTTTTTAACTTTTTTTTTTTTTTTGCAGGGGAGGATTATTGAATGCACACACTGTGGCTGTAGAGGGTGCTCTGGATAAAAACTTAACACTGAAGAGGGGCTGCATGGTTTTCCGACGATAAATCTGTTCTATTTCTTTTCTTAATGTATATCTGTATTGTGTGTAATAAATATTGCTTTTATTGCTCGTCTGCTGTATTGATGTTGAATTTTATGCTGTTGGCAAAACTAGAATATATATTGTCTTTCTAATTTTCGATTTTCAGAAATTTAAAATAACTTCAGGCAATTATCAAAAATTTGTTTTATTAATCCATGTCGGATGGTAGATGCTCCTTAAGCTTACGTTTGGTCTTGTATTTTTCCCACGGATGTGGTGTTTCTTCTGCTGCCATCCATCCTAACCAGCGATTATAATAGCCACGGAAACCGTCAATCTTCTCCAGGAATACATTCTTACCCTGATACTAGGATTTAGAAAGGAATAAGTAAATATAATTGTTGAGGAATATCTTAACTGGTACACAGTTGTTTTAGAACAGTCTGCTGCATGCCTATGATCAAGTGTTTAAGAGTAAACCCCTGCACCAGTAACTTTTATTTAAAGTGACACTGTAGGCACCCAGACCACTTCAGCTCACTGAAGTGGTCTGGGTGCTGTGTCCCTTTTGCACTTAGTGCTGCAATGTAAAACATTGCAATTCCAGGGAAACTGCAGTGTTTACATTGCAGCACTAAGTCTGCCCTCAGTGGCTGTCTTGAGGGCTTCCGGAATCCAAACAGACTTTTGGCCCGTTATCTGACTCTGGACATCCTCATGCTTTGCATGAGAACCTCCAGCTTCAGATTTTTTCCCTATAGGAAAGCACTGATTCAATGCTTTCCTATGGGGAGGTTTAATAAGTGTGTAGCTATTGCTGTGCATGCGCATTAGTTCCTGATTGTCACAGGGCGGAGGAGGGAGCAGAGCTCCGACCCAGTGCCGAGGGACATCGGTGCTTGGGATAAGGTAATTAAATCAAGGTTGGTTTTTTTTTTTTTTTTTTAATCCTTTTATTTACCGAGGGGGAGGCATAAGGATTGGTAGTGCCAGGAATACAGCTTTGTATCCCTTTAAAGATCATGGAATATTTATGAATGCATTGTGTTCTTAATAAGTAACTGTAACATGTTTTTTGATGTGAACTGGTATTAAAGAGACCATGTAGACCCTGTAACTGCTTCACCTCATTGAAGTAGTTTTAGTATCTGGAGTAGTAAAACCGCTTAACACTGAATGGAAGATCTCATCTATGCTGGTCAGGCCAATAAGGAAGCAAAGGATGGGGGTAATTGTGAGTGTAGCAGACTGCTTTCAGCTTGCCACAAAAGCCCATTGCTGATATGAAGAAAATATGTGCTGTCTGCCTAGGCCATACTTTTAGTTGGGGCGGGGCTGTAGGCACCCTCCCTCCACAGAGAATGTGTACCAGGTATTTAGTGTTTAATATCCATAACCCATTACTGTTGTTCAAAATTATTTGTTTACAATTCCACATAAGCATTTCTTCTGTTGTACTACAGACTCCTGTCATGTAAAATTGCCCATTTTTACGTACTCTGTCAAACTTTGGTGGGTACTGAGCTGCAAACTCCAACTGCCGAATCACCACTTCATTGGGGGCAACGTTTCTGACTTTCATGTCCCGGATGATGTCTGTGAGGTAGACATAATCTAAGCGCTTCAAAGCCACTTGAATTAAGGTGCTGTATATATAATTGTTGGGCAATACACCAATATTCTGAAAGAAAAGTTTATTCATGAAATACATATTCTCACTCCCTCCCCTCCCCCCGTGGATAGAGGCAGTAAACATAGGTTGGTTCTTCAAGAACACTGGCAATGTGTAATTAAGCAGTTCTCATATAGAACTCAAGCTAGAGCACCTTAAAATTTATGAAAACAGAATATAGACAGACAATATGAACACATTGTTACAAAATTAATTGACGGGAATTTAAGTTGAGCCTCTCCTCCCTATAGCATAAAACTCCACAATACCAAGTTCTCTGCCTGTCCTCAGCAGAGCAGGAAGTATTCCTGATCATGACGAAAGGGCTACTGCTTGTTTCTCGATGTGGCTGACCAGCATGGAAAAGCATAAAGTTGTGGCAAATCTAAGCCTTTAACATGTTCTACATGCAATCTTCAGTTGCCAGATGGGTCCAAGAAAAAGTTAGTTACGAACCTACAGCAGACTTTTCTTGGCATTTGTTCTGCAGCATTACAGTCTTTGCAAACTTCTCAACAATCCAGTTCCATGGTTATACAGAAAAGGATTACTGTTTAGAGAGTTTTGACAGATCTACTCCTAATTCAGAATCCGTTTACTCCTCTGATGAATCTTCATCAGCAATGTAAAGGAGCCAAGGTATTCCCTTCCATCCCAACTTTTATAAGGCTATGTCCAGAAAATAACAAGCTACAGCCAAACATGAATTCAACAACAAACATTTTCACCCTTACAGAAGAGGACAATATCAATGATCTACCTGAAGCAGATATTCTGATAGCACAATTCAGGGAGAAATTCACCCTACCCTTTTGGGATGCTGGCAAGATTCCATGGACAAAATGACAAACAAAACTTAGTCTGTTCAGTACTCATTACCGTGGCTAGATTCTTTGGAGAATGTATTCTATCAGCAAACAGAAGACCTGTTATACTTCTCCAAAACAAAGACTCGCAGCAGATTTTTGGTAGGCGCTACAGTGGAATGATTTGCCACAACCATGGGGTTAGACAAGGAGGCAATAAGGGCTAAGAAATTGAACTGCTGAAAGAATTCCATGTGTGAATTGTCCTCTGAACAAAGAAGACTATGTAGTTCTCAGTTAAGACCATCTTTACAAGCAATTGGCAGAAGGTAAGAAAGCTTTACCTCAATATAAAAGAAATGGAACAGCCAGTGCGTGCACACACTACATACAGCCACCACCCAGACTCTTGGTGAGACACAAATTAAATCAATGGCAAAACAGAGGTTAAAAAGTAGATTGTTGTAAAAAAGACAAATACATTAGGCTACGGTTAAGTGTACACACAACTGGGAATAAATGGGACAAGGACAAAACACTAGGGGGCACTGTTAAAGAAGTAGGGCAATGGAAGTGACAATTGGAATAATGGGGGCACTGGGTGGACACTGCTGAAGAAGGGGTAGTAGATGTGAAAACAGATGGGGAGGATAATGGTGGTGAGATGTGAGAGAAGGGGGGCACAAATGGGACACTAAAGATGTGACAATAGTATTGAAAATTAAGTGAAGGGGGCCACTGGGTGAGGGTGATTTCATTGCTAAAGGCAATAGAAGTGAGAATTGAGAGAAGGATGGCACTGAGAGAGAACACCGGGGATTACACTGCTAAAGAAGATCAATGGAAGTGAGCTTTAAGACTAGGGTAGCTATATAGTTAAATGGTGTCTGCCATCCATTATATGACATGGTTCTGGCCCTCATATGGAAAGGTTGCTGACACCTGGTCTAAGACATGCATCACTAAAAGTTCAGGTTGTCAACTGTAGCTCGTACAATTAGAGAGATTATGCCACAGTGGGACATGAATTTGATATTCAATTCACTTTGTGAACCATTATCTTTAGTCACTATCAACATACTCACCTGGAAGACCATCTTTCTAGTAGCCATTACATCTGCTAGGAGACAAGCTCTCCTTTATGCTGAAACATATCTAGTCTTCCATATGAACAAAGTGGTTCTGAGACTTCATTCATCTTTTCGACCAAAAGTGTCTTCAGTTAAAGGACCACTATAGTGCCAGGAAAACATACTCGTTTTCCTGGCACTATAGTGCCCTGAGGGTGCCCCCACCCTCAGGGTCCCACTCCCACCCGGCTCTGGAAAGGGGTAAAAACTTACCTTTTTCCAGCGCTGGGCGGAGAGCTCCTCTTCTCCCCCCCGTCGGCTGAATGTGCGCGCGCATTCAGCAGGTCACATAGGAAAGCATTCATAATGCTTTCCTATGGACGCTTGCGTGCTCTCACTGTGATTTCCACAGTGAGAAGCACGCAAGCGCCTCTAGTGGCTGTCAATGAGACAGCCACTAGAGGAAATAGGGGAAGGCTTAACCCATTCACAAACATAGCAGTTTCTCTGAAACTGCTATGTTTATGAAAAAATGGGTTAACCCTAGCTGGACCTGGCACCCAGACCACTTCATTAAGCTGAAGTGGTCTGGGTGCCTAGAGTGGTCCTTTAACATCAATCAGGAATAATTTTACCTACTTTTTGTAAAACTCCACTCACAGGATGTGAAATTAGCAATTTTACTTGGATATAACCAAGGAGTTTTGCAAGTTGGAAGATCGTTTTGTCTTACAAAGGCTCAAATAAACGTTTTGGCTTTGAAAGATACATTAGCCAGATGGATCAAAGAGGCTGTCTCTGGCATACTCTTGGCAGCATAGGGATCCACCTCCTCCTTGGCTTCACCAATGCAAGGCGGCAACGTGGTCTTCCATTCATACATTCATTAAGCAATACAGATGGAAGGCGCTTGCCTCCGAAGAGTTTTGTTTCGAGAGTAAGGTGCTCCAGGCGGTGATTAAATGAAGATGCGCCATTTAAGTAGATTTTGTAAGTGTGTACTGCCTTTATCCACAGGTGAAAACTAAACTTTACTGACGGTGAATGTATTATTTCCTAGGATTAAAGGCAGTACAAGTTTCTCCCTTTCTAATAACTATTCTTGCAATACATTGAGTGCCTTGTTTATTTACTTTTGTGAAGTTTTATGTCATAGTGAGGACGGTTAGGAGGGGTTTAAAAGGAACCGGCCACCAATTACCTGACTCTCAGGTGGGTAAAATTTAATTATTTTTAATGCTAGTGTTCCTTTAAACCACCACATACTATGCAGCTATGTAACTACTGCATTTAACTGAATTAAAGAAGATACATCTTTTAAAAAGATGCTTAAGAGCAACAATGACAGAATCATGCACAAATGCGATCATACTGGCAAGAGTGAATCTCTGTGAGTGTTTGGGAAGTACTGTACTGTTTAGTGTAAAGTCACATAACCTACAGTAATGTTTTCTGTATTTGATAGACAATTCATGGAGAGCACTAACAATTCACCTTAAGCTAAAAGGCAAAATCGTATTTTTCTATACCCCTACACACTTATTAACCCTTAATAGTGAACACATGTTTTTTTTAGGGGGGAGGGTGGGGTAAGGGTTAATAAAGGAAGAATATTTTGCATGCATACCACCATGTCTTCAAGTAGCTGCAAACCATCTTCTCTCTTGTGGCAAGCTGAAGCCAGGTGACAGAATGTCTGGATGTTAGGTGCAATTCCTTTTTGAACCAAAACAGGCAGTAGTTCCTATGAATGGAGAAAATGTAATGTTTATTTTTAATAGTGTGCCTACAAGTGCTGTTAGGAGAGGATATAACATCCGCTTTAGGACATATTGACACACTTTCATAAAACGAGTAGTGTAATATTCCCTTTTTCCTCCATTGGCACCCACAGCAGCCGGCACTGAAGTGAAGACTTCTATCAGAGTATGCTCAATCACAGAGAACTCCAATGCCACTTAGCCACTCTACATTAAAACATTATAGCTGCAGCAGATGGTGGTGTCCTACCTAGAGTGAATTATGCTGTGTTGGTAGTTCACTCTGTTAGTTGGCAAAATTACACTCCCTTTCGGGAACAACCCGAGTTCAAGGGATCCACTAGGACCATATGTAGGTCAGCTCTGCAGCTATAACTTTAAATTAAAAATAAACATGCTGACATTTATCTATATAAATAAATTTCCTCTGCTAAACTTGTGTCTGTTCTGGTAGCCAGTGCAAGTTGCAAATGCACCACGATTTCCTGCGCACTACTACCTGTTACATCATTGATGAGGCTCGAACTGCGCTGGTAAAGGGCTATTAATAATGATGAGCAGGGAAATTAGTGAAATTAAGCTGAAAAATAGTTGATTCAATCACATTCACAAAAAAAGGCATTTGAGTGCCTTGGCAAGACTGCACACATGCCACAAAGCACAGGAAGCATTCCTGTTAGTTGCAGTTCAGCTACTAGATTTAATAAAGTAAACAAGGTGTTAGTTATAACTCCCAAAAAACCCTATCTTGCCCATAATGTCCTGCTACACAGGGATTTAGGAGTCAAAATCACCGCTTGCAATTTAAATACTTTTAGACCCTTCTAATTGGCTGATCACTTTATGTTTTAGGGCTAGGCAGTGCTCCTGCAGAGTTTAAAAAGCCTAGAGATTTACTGAAAAATGCATCATTAAATGTACGGTAAGTACATTTTTTGATTTGGATTGGTTGTTTTTGCATATCATTTTTCAATGCATTATCTATAGAACACATTAAATATAATGCCTTGTTCAGCCTGCAGTGCCCCTGTAAGTGCTTTCACTCTGTGACACTGGATACTGTACTTGTGCAAATAAGTATAATACAATATTTTCCTTTTATAATCTCGGAAACTTACCTTTGCTGATGCCAGATTTAACATTTTACTTCTTTTTTTCACCAAAGTGTTGAAAAACGTCACATCCACCTTAATATTTAATAAGTCCATGATGTTGAGCAGGCTAGATTCGGATTGGCTCCCAGGTTTTGTTACATCAGCCAATAGTGTTAGAGTTTTTATCGTAGGTGTCACTTGATCCTCCTTCATCTTCTGCAGGATTCCTTCCATGTCGCCAACCAAAGCAAGCCTATCCGAGGGTTCGAGGACATTCCCTAGTGAAACTACCATATGTTTCTCTACAACAGGATTAAGGAGGTTTGGGGGCTGCTGTTGAGCATCAATAAGCACAGTGTCAGAGTTAAAGGGCTCCACCTCTTTAGTTACTTGGGATGAAATACTTTTTATCATAGCAGGTTTCTGAGCTGATTTTACATCTATTGCACTAAGACTAGATTGTTTGAGACGGGCCGTACTTTCAAGTACTAGTTGCTGCTTTAACATCTCCACTTCGTGCTCAGTTATTACACCAACTGTGGGCACTTTGTTAGCTTGCTTGTGTTTTCCAAACATGCTTTTTTTCTTTGGCAAAGCATGCTCACTGGGGCTTAACAAAATATCATATGCCACTTTAGGGTCTCCAATTCCACACTCTTTGATAGCACGAATGAGCAGATTGTATGTGTTAATGTTGGGCTTTAAACCTAGGCTCAACATCAGCCGCCAAACCTGTGTTAAAGAGAGAGAGCGAAGTTTAAAATTGAATAACCTTTTCCTGAGGAAATAACAGAAGCATAAAAGCATTATTACACAAACTAATATTTTTCCGCTTGGTTCTAACAGACAGAATCAAAACTTACTGCAAACCAATCACTCTACAGAGCACAATAATTAATGTATAAATGCATGAATATTAAATATGGTTATCATTTTCCAAAGAGCAATTTTATGTTGTTGTGGTGAAGAGAGGGTTTTGTGAACATAATCTTGTTAAGGAAGAATACTATACAGACATGTGTACCCAGTAAACAGGCAAAAAAGTCAATAAGAGAAAATAATTAATTTCAGAATAACTATACCTGCAGAGAATAACGGAACCCCACTGTCTTATCCTCGATGCAGCCCATTAGAAGTACGTTGAAAGTATCTGTAATAACAATGTGTCCCTTTTGTACCATTTCCTGAAGGACAAGAATCACAGTGTTAATGCAAGAGGGAAATGTAAGAATACAAAGCTATGTAAGCATACATTATGCCATTTGAGCCTATCGCTTTCTAATCAGGCTTAAAATATAGCACATGTAGAAAATACATCTGCATAACTCATCAAACCTGTGGGTTCATTTGTTTAGGCTGTAAGCCCATTAGAGTAGAATCCTTGTCCCAGTATGTTTACATTTGTTTGCTCATAATTCACTTAAAACATAACATTTTGATTTTAGACATGTATTTATAATGTAGCATCAGTTCAAATATTGAGCTCTCGTGGTACTTTATATCAAAGGCATTAATTACATATTGTATTAGAACATCACTAACCTTTGAATTAGCAACACAAGATACTGCACTGCTTAGAAAAAAAATAAAAACAAGAAGCAGAATGATTTGGGTTCTACTTTGGATCATTTCTTCAACCCCTTCAGGACCGGACTGTTTTGGCCATGTTGTATGTTAAAGGACCACTACAGGCACCCAGACCACTTCAGCTTAATGAAAATCACAGTGTGAAGACGCCAGCGTCCATAGGAAAGCATTGTAAATGCTTTCCTATGAACTGGCTGAATGAGAGCGCGGCTCCTGCCGCGCATGCGCATTCAGCTGATGACGTCGCTATGGAGGAGGAGGAGGAGGAGGAGGAGGAGAGCTCCCTGCCCAGCGCTGGAGAAAGGTACGATTTTAACCCCTTCCTCTCCCCAGAGCATGGCGGGAGGGGGACCCTGAGGGTGGGGGCACCCTCAGAGCACTATAGTGGTCCTTTAAGGACCAGAGCTGTTTTAACACTTTTGTGGAGTTTGTGTTTAGCTGTAATTTTCTTCTCTCTCCTTTACGGTTCCCATACAAATTATATATTGTTTTTTTCAGGACAAAAGGGGCTTCCATATAATTTACTTTTAAAAAGGTAATAAAATATGGTGAAAATTGAAAAAAAATATATGTTTTTTGACTTTTACTTGAAAAATCTTTTACTTACTTACGAAAGCTAATGAAAAAAACTGCTAAATAGCTTCAAAATTTTGTCCTGAGTTTAAAAACACCCAGTGTTTACGTGCTTTTTTTTTTTGCAAGTTATTGGGCTATAAGTACAAGTAGGAAATTGCGGTTTCAAAATACATATTTTTTAAATTTATCAATAGTGACATTGTAACACTGTTATCTGTCATAAATTTCTGAATCACACCTCACATGTACATATTTTTTTTAAAGTAGACAACCCAGGGTATTCAATATGGGGTATGTCCAGTCTTTTTTAGGAGCCACTTAGTCACAAACCAAAGTTAGCATTTATATTTGTGTGTGAAAATTGCAAAAAACTAAATTGAACGCTAATTTTGGCCAGTGTTTGTGACTAAGTGGCTACTAAAAAAGACTGAACATACCCCATTTGCAATACCTTGGGTTGTCTTCTTTTGCATATGGTATGCCATCCTCGGGGCAATTCTCATTCCTGGGCTACCATACGCTCTCAAAGGCAAATAACCAACCTGGCAATTTCCAATGTAAAAATATTTGACCCTTATATTTGACCCTGTAACTTTCAAAAACACTATAAAACCTGTACATTGGGGGTACGGTTATACTCCGGAGACTTTGCTGAACATAAATATTAGTGTTTCAAAACAGTAAAACGTATCACAACAATTATATCTTCAGTGAAAGTGCCATTTGTGTGTGAAAAATGCCAAAAAATAAATAAAAATAAAATCACTTTCACTGACAATATCATCCCTGTGATATGTTCTCCTGTTTTGAAAGACTAATATTTGTGTTCAGCGAAGTCTCCTGAGTAAAACAGTACCCTTCATGTACAGGTTTTAGAGTGGCATAGAAAGTTACAGGGTAAAATACAGTGCTAGCAAATTAAATTCTCTGGACTTTCGGCCTGGGTTGTCAGGCAGGTCCCTCAAATTGCAATCAATAAAATTACTTAATTAGGTAAAAATGTTTTAAAAAAAACGCACGTAGAATTTAAATATATATGCATATTTATGAAATTATTTATGTAATTTTGCATATGGATATATATTTTGGAATATTTTGATTTATTTATATATACATTGATGTATATATAATTTCATTCTAAGTGTATTTTGATATAAATATATATATAAATTAATATCAAAATACAGTTAGAATAAACTTTCATATATATATATATATAAAATTAAAATTTTTTAAAATTATTTTAATTTACTTATTATTTGTATTTTATAATAATATATATATATATATATATATATATATATATATATACTCAATATATATCGGTATTATATATATATACATGTGTCATTTAATAAGTGTATTTTATATTAATATATACACTTAGTATGACATTACATATATAAGCTATATAGACATATATATATATATATATATATATATATATATATACACACATACATATAGAATTATATTTTTTTATTAACATTAACTTTTTTTTCTTTTCCTTTTACCACTTGCAAGTAGACTGTCTGTCAGCACAGGCAGTCCCCCTACAGGCAGATACATGGACACATATTGTGGGGTCCTAATTCACTGCGGGGAGACTGCCTGGGCTGCAGGCAGTCCCCCCACACTGGGAGCAATGCCGATCACCGCCGTGGGAACGACGGTGACTGGTTGAGTAAAGATTTCCGTTATGACGGTTCAGGAGCGTCACTGGTCCTCAAGGGGATTTTTCCCGATGACGGTCCTGAACCGGCAGCGGTCGGGAAGGGGTTAAAGAGTCGCTCTTAGGACTATAACCATTCCATCTCATTGCATTAGTTATAGTGCCTAGAGCCCCAGAGCGCAGTCTCTTCATTCAGTTTTGTTGAGCGGTTCAACACTACTTGAAGTTGCCCAAAGCCCAGCCCCACTGGAAGTATGGTTAAGGCAGAGATCACACACTTTCTCAACCACACCTATTCAGTAATGGGTGACTGCATAGGCTGAAATCAGTTATCTCATACACTCTGCCAATCATCACAACCGGGAGCTGCTCAGGATAACGATGAAGCATTAGCCAGAACATTCATTTAGCATTACACTATTGAAAACTGTTTAAAAAGAGGGACAGTGCAGTTGTACTCCAGGCACTTCAATGATATGAAGCAGTTACAGTGCCATTTAATAAATTGCATGCATTAAGAAACAATAGTGTTTGTTTACACATACATAGCATAACTATTAGCATTTATAAATTTATGTTCCAAAAATTGGTATCCTTTATAATTATATGAGTCTCACTGTTGGATCATGCCAACACCTTTCAGAAACACTACAAACATGAAAATTAAGCCATCCACACTAACTAGAGCTAAAATGTTTAATTTAAATGTTTGCTAGCAAAATGGATAGAAAAAAAATATGAATTATTATTATTATATTTATATAGCTCCAACAAATTCTGCAGAGCTTTACAATGGGTAGACTAACAAACATGTGATTGTAATAAATGAATAAAGTGATTTTGTTTTTATTACTTTATATGACATGTACACTAGGATTAAATGGTTATGGCTTGATATAATGTTGCAATGGTAAGCAATTGTTGCTTTAATATCACTAGGGGCTGGAAACCTTGGAAACCACAACAATACAGTGCCTTAACCCTTTTATTCCAAGGGGAGTAAAATGACAATATGAAAAAGATCTGTTCTCAGACCCACGGACATAATATATGTTTTCCCATTATATGCCACATAGAAGACAATCTCACTTGTTTGCCTGCATTTACTTTAATATACACTATGAATTTTTCATATATATTATTTTTTAATTAAAGGAAAACTAAAGTTTTAAAAAAAAATTAGTTTTTGTCACATACACCTGAAATGTATTTCAGGAGAAAATATTAGAAAAAAATCCCACTGAATGCTATGCCTTGATTGTGATTTTTTTTTCTTTGTGGATGTGTGAGCCTAATGTTACAGTGCTTATTGTAAAACTGTTAAATCCTAAAAATAAAGGAATCTCGTAAGCTTGTCAACCCACCATTTAGGATGACAAAATCTTCATTAAATATGCAATAAAGATTCAATCCATAGGTTGTGCTATTGAAAATAGTCATCATGTGGGCTACACAGACCCAAATGCACCCCCACAAGGCATAAACATAGAAAAAAAAAACATACTGGTTCTCAAGTATGTCTGTTTGGCTTCTTCCTTGGTAGAATGGTTTGTTAACCAATATCATAAAAATAAAGTTAAATCTTTAAACACATGTTGCAAGCTGTAGATGATTATTTCTGATGTATAAGATATTGTAGATTGGGGCTTAACATTTCTAATCCTTCATTACTAGCCACTGCAAACTTGGAGGGTTCATGACACACTTAACAGTGCTTAATTTTCACTCACCAAATTGCTAGAGGAAATGTTGAGCTCTGATACAGATGATACATTAAAACCAACCAACATGTTAACCCCAACAGATTTAAAACAAGATTTTGTACATAATTATGATGAAACAAATTATGGCATGCATAAACAAAACATTATACTTGTTTCAAGGAACATTCCAGTCACAAAGAAAACTTTAATACACTTATAGGTTTTGGCACTTTTGCAAGCTCAAATCTTATTTGTTCCCCATAATAGTTAAATTGTTTTGCATAATGCTGCAACATACGCCTTCTTAGCCACACCCTCCCAATTAAAAAAAAAATACTTCCTTTTCAGTGTTTGCAATTAAAGGACCACTATAGTGCCCTGAGGGTGCCCCCACACTCAGGGTCCCCCTCCCGCCGGGCTGGATGGAGAGGAAGGGGTTAAACTTGCCTCTTTCTCCAGCGCCGGGCGGGGAGCTCTCTTCTTCCTCTCCTCCTCCTATTCGGCTGAATGCGCATGCGCGGCATTGAGAAACGCGGAAGCCCACTAGAGGCTGGATTAACCCTAACATAAACATAGCAGTTTCTCTGAAAAAACTTAAAATCTTAACCCTAGATGGACCAGGCACCCAGACCACCTCATTAAGCTGAAGTGCCTATAGTGGTCCATTAATACAGCCTTTGACAGCACTGAGTGATCTGAACTACGAAGCATTATAAGGATAGTGCATCCAGACATACAAATACCGGTAGTAATTATACCACTTTACCTGTGTATCTGTCTGGGTGTCATTTTTTAATGAAGACTGCTTTGCTTATATTATGCCTGTAACATACAATGAAGCTGATTAATTTAATCCAGGGTTTAACAGATTTGCTTGGAATCTAGGAGTCAGCTTTTTTTAAAACTAGCGAAGTTTAATTTACAACGATAAATATACAATTCTTAAAGAGACACTATCGCCACCAGAACCACTGCAGCTTAATGTAGTTGTTCTGGTGCCTATAGCCTGTCCCTGTAGCCTTTTCAATGTAAATGCTGCCTTTTTAGAGAAAAGGCAGTGTTTACATTGCTGCCTAGTAACATCTCTAGTGACAGTCACTCAGACGGCCACTAGAGAGTCCCGTGTCAGTGCGCAGCACCTTTGTTCAGCGTTGCCACGCTCTGCATGGAGGTGCTGAATGTTACCCATAGAGAACATGCGCAATATCCTTCCAATGCTTTCCTATGGGAAAGCATTGGTTTAGCGGAGCTCATTAAGATTGATGGATCTCAGCCATGGAGGTGGGACAAGCTGTAGCGAAACCGGCACAGCATGGGGTAAAAGGAGTAAAAACACCTCTCTCATGTGATCGGAGGGGGACAGGTACCTAAACAGACACAGAAACAGACACATACTGACAGAGACAAACACAAATTTTCTCACACTCACAAACACCGACATACACATTTTCACACACACACACACACACACACACACACACACACACACACACACACACACAGACATTTTTTATTTGAATCCACCCAGCCTCCCTACCTTTGGAAGAGTTGAGTGGACTTTCCCTGTAATCCAGTAGGGCTGCTCCTCCTGTGTGCTAGGGGTCAGAAATCTACCCGCGGCTCCTCTCTATTACCTGTAATGATGCCGGCCGGCCGGCCCCAATGTTCCCTCATCTGCCCACTTTAGCTAAAGGGCTGCTAATCCCAGGTGCCAGGGCGACCTGGGATTTGTCAAGCCCTGATTTAATCCATATCCAAACTGCAGACAGTCCTAGAGATATTCTTACTATGTCAGTCAGTGCTGTTAGGTGGCTGAGCTGTGTACATACATTAATAATTGAGTTTTTGTTCTGGAATGAGAGCTAAGGAGACAGTATTCTGCAAAGCATTTATTTTTGTGCCAAAACTATAACGATCAGAGCATGCCAAAATACAGCAATTCGTTAAAAACCCAAATGTTTTATAGCTGTATTGGTGACTGGAGTAGTGTTCCTTAACCCCTTCGCGACGCTAGATGGAAATTTTCCATCATGCTTATCCTACTGTTAAATGTTTTAATAATAATTTTTTTTTTTAAAGTTTAAAAAAATCCCACCCCCCTTTCACCAGTCCTAATAAAGATTAACCCCTTCCCTGCCAGTTGATCACTGCCTAAAATGATGAAAAATACAGATCCCAGTATTATACTGTGATCTGATTTTTTTTAGCCCCTGAGGGCTAACTTTAATTTTTTTTAACCCCTTCAATTTATTTCATTAATTAATTTGAATATTTTAAAATGATATATTTTGCTAGTTGGGAGTGGGTGGGAGTTAAGATGGCGTCCACGCGGGAAGCCCCTGACTACTCCTCGCTTAACAGTGAGTGTGAGTCCGCCGAGGAACCAGCAAAGGGAGGGGGCATCAGAACAGAGAGTATTCCACTTCCTGAGCAGATGCCAGCGAGCAAAGCAGACATCATTAACCTGCTCAAGGAGCTTAAAGCACAATCAGAAGCTGACGTTGCCTTAATCAGCTAAGATTTGGGCGCCATGACAGCCCGCATACAGGCTGTGGAAGTAAATGAAGCGGCTTTAGCGGCCAAAATTAAGGCCCTGCAGAGAGAAATGACCCAACTAAAGCAAACAAGCACTACGTTAGAAAACAAAGTGGTGGCACTGGAAGACTCTAAACGCCAGCAAAACCTGAGGATTAGGGGGATACCAGAGGAAGTGCAAGACCCTAAGATCCCACACTACCTATGCAGATTACTGGCCTCCCTTTCATTACCAGCTAAAGCAAAATCTATTTTGCTGGATTTCCATTTCCGTGTACCTAAACCTCCAAGAGCCCCAGCAGAGGTCCCACGGGACTTACTTATGCGGTTTCAATCACTCCGGGGCAAGAAGCAGCCCGCGAAACAGACACCTACGAGTTCGAGGGCTCTGACCTAGCCTTCTATAACGACCTCTCTAGGGCAACTATAACTTGGAGACACTCCATGAAAGAAGTAACTCAGCTCCTGAGAGCCAAGGGGATACAGTACCATTGGGGACCAGGGCGCAGGCTGTCTGTCAGCCAAGAAGGCAAAAGAGTGCACATCGCACAAGCAAGCGACTCTGAGAAGTTTCTTCAGGCCTTGGGCATATCTCAGGAGGCCACTACAAGCAAAACCTCTGCAACACTGACACCAGCGACTACCTCCAGGCTTTGGGATGTTAAGAAAATTCAACCCATTCTTCCCAAGAGCGAGTCGTGTTGCAGGCTCACCTAAACCGACAACCTGAACTCTGCAAGAGCTTGGACGCTCCGCAAGTGCATGATGAATAGGAATGCATGTTGTAGGCTTCTGTTCTTTATGCTATTATTTTACGTTAATGCTATAGGTTTGAAAGCAGGTCCATCAACCAATTTGCTACTAACATGTCTCAATTGAAATGTATCTCCCAACTTGCTCATACCCCCCAAAAGAAAGCTGGTCCCAATAAGCAAACGCAAACTTTTCCTATTACCACTATGCAACCACTCGCTAATTAATTGTATAATTATCTGTATGATACCACAGAATATATGCTCTACCTAGGCTCTTATGTTCACCTGTTATCTGTGGTACTGTACGCAAATGTTGCATTTAAAATGTAGCCAAATGAATCAAGATGACAAATGTACACATTGCTATGCTACAATAAAAAATTATTAATATAAAAACATAATAAAAAAAATGCTTATTACCACTACACTTAGTACAAAATAGCGAAAAAAATACCCCACGCCAAGGTTCAAAATATGTGTTTTGAATTACCCCAGGGTGAATTCTTTAATTAATAGTATGTGTTTGTGGGGTAGGTTGAATAACCAACCAACTAAACACTGCAAAATGGAACATGCACACAGCGTAAAACTAAAAAGTTAGAAGAAAACTGAATGGCTCAAATGTGCCCCTTCAACATCCACATATACCTGGCAAAAGTACATACGGGGTATTGTTGTACTCAGATGACATAGCTGAGCAACATATGAAATATTATACAGCCGCAGCACACATAAGATTTGCAAAATTTACTGTGCAAACTCGCTTTGTGTCAAAAAGGCAGAAAGAAATGCTTATTACCACTACACATGGTACAAGCTAAAGGAAAAATTATCCTACACTAAGGTTCAAAATATGCCTTTTGAAATATCCTGGGATGTCTTCTTTAAGAATGGTATGCCTTTATGGTGTAGTTGGAATATTTAGCCTGCTAAAGTGCTCCAAAGTGGGACACAGATGCTTCAAAACCCTCTATGAAAATTCACACTTAAAAACCTGAAATTGTCACGGCTGTTTTACAGCGCTGTAACTTCACAAAATAGTGTCTAGGTCATATTGTTTTACTCAGAAGATGTAACTGAGCATCATTTTATGACAGTGGCACATATTAAGTGTAAGAAATACTCAACAAAAATGCAACATGTATGTAAAAATTTATTTTTTTCCCCCTCAACACAAACATTGGCATAAATTGGTGAAAAAATGGCGACAAGTTAAGGCACAATATACGCCATATAAGATACCCTGGGGTGTCTACTTTATCAAATGGAAGCCCTTTGTGGGTTTTTTTTTTTTTTAAAACAGTCAAACTGCTATAATACCCCAAAATGAGACACAGGTCCGTCAAATCCATCTATGAAAATTCTAACTACAGAAACTGAAATAGCCTGGTCTATTATATGGCATTGTAGCTTCACAGAATAGTGCCAAAGGCATACAATGGGGGTATCGTTATACTCAGCAGATGTAGCTGAAGGCATTATGGGGTTCTGTGCAGAAATAGCACACACCAGCTTTACAAAATTCACATTACAAAAACCTTGTTATATGTGTATATGCCAAAATAGAGAAAAAACACAATTTTACACAATTATTTAGCAGATTGGTGATGAAATGGCTATGTAAAAAGTGTCAAAATAACCTTAGGTAAAAAGCCTGTGATGTCTACTTTATATAAAATATATACTTTTTCTGTGGCAATTTTGTTTTCTGTTATGACTACTAAACCTTCAAGACAAACATACCAACTTATAAAATTGTTTCACATTGAAATTTTATTTTAGTTCTTGTAGTGTGTGTCCTGTAAATTTCAAAATAAGCTGAAATCCTATACATCTGATGTACTCTATAAATCAAGACCCATATATGAAATTATTTTGAATTACTTTTCGTAAGCTGGACAAATCATGCACACGCTATTATTACCAATACTGTAAAAAAAAAAAAAAAGTTTTTTTTCTTCACATTTTTTTGCATTTTTTTTTTTTATAATTAAAGCGGCACTGTCATGCCGAATCCTGTTTTTTTTTTAACTCCCCTCCGGCCTCCACTATCTCTAACTGACACCCTAGTCAGCCCCCCACATTACCTATTTTTTTTATTCCTTATTTTCTGCCCCGATCTATATTCAGGGCGCAGCCATCTTTGTGTGGGTAGATGTGTGGGTCATCTGCCCACACTAGACAGACTGTGAGATTCCCGCACATGCCCAGTGAAACACCTGGACATGCGAACGGGAATTTCATCTATTCATTCAACAGACGAATGAGTGAATAGAAAAATCAGACGAACAAACTAACACTGTGTATCAGTGTTTGTTCGTTCAGTTTATTACAAGGAGGGAGCTACCGGCACGCAGCTCCCTCCTTCTAATATGTAACTATAGAAGCGGCAGGGAGCAGTGCTCCCCACCACTTCATAAGCCCCCCAGGTCCCCCCCTCACTCTATGGGGGTCAGTATGACCCCCATAATAGCATATGGGAGATTAAAATCTCCCCAATGCCCCTACTCGCTATACCGGGCATGTCCACTAAACAGTGAGCAGCCCCCCCCTTCCCAAGGTGACTAGGGGTCCCCAAACCCCTAGTCACCCACCCTCCCCACCCAAATAAAATGTCTCTACCTACCCCCCTCACCCTAAAAAATAGTGAGGGGGGAATAAAATAACTAACCTGTAAAATAAAATTAAACTTACCATTTGACGTCTTCTTTCTTCTCAAATCTTCATTTTTCAGCCCCAAAAAAGGGCAAATAAAAAACCATCATAACCGTCGAACTTAAAATAAAATAAAAATCCCGAGCGAAAAAAAAAAAAACACAGACGAAAAAGAAAAAACCCGAGCGCCAAAAAATAATCCACCTTCACCCATGGCGGGCTCCGCAGATTGAGCTCATAAAGCCTTGCCCCGCCCTGCAATTAGGCTAAGAACACTCTGATTGGTGGGTTTAAGCCAATCAGAGTGCTCTTTGTCATTTTACACAGCGTGGGAAAATTCGGGGTGGGTGGGGGAGGGCAGTAGGCCCCCCCCTCATTATCTTTATGGCACCCACCGCCGCCAAGGGGTGGGGGGGGGGGTGGACAGTAGGTACCCCCCCATTATCATTTGGCCCCCACCCGCCACCCAGGATTGGGGGTGGGGGGGGAGGACAGTAGGTCCCCCTCACCCCCCCCCCATTATCATTATGGCTCCACCCGCCGCCCAGGGTCCCCCCCCCATTATCATTATGACCCCCACCCACCGCGCAGGGGTGGGACATTAGGTCTCCCCCCTTATTTTACTTTAGGGCCCCCACCCGTCGTTTAAGGGTGGGGGCCAATAGTTTTTTTTTTTTTACAGTGAGCAGCCACTGGCTGTTCACTGTTTACTAGACATGCCCCTACTCGCGGTATAGCGAGTAGGGGCAGCATTTACTAATACTAAGTAATTTTTACTTAGTAATAGTAAATGTGGCTGAAAGACCAATTTAGGTCTTTCAGCCTTTTAGTAGATAACTCCCTGATACTGTGGGAATTAGGGAGTTATCTACTAAGCTGCTGCAAGATGCAGCCACAGCAAGAATAGGATCGGAGTTTCATTCATTCGAATGAAATACCAATCCGAATAAAGTGCCAAATTGCGTTCTAAAACAAACGAACATACTGTTCTCATTCAGTTAGAACGCAATTCGGCAGTTTCGTGTAAAATGACAGGAAGCATCGCGGGAACACAGAGGAAAGGTGAGAATTGTGGGAAAATTGCCCTGACCAACGGAAATGAAGCACACTTTGCTCCTCCGCTGGTCAGAGCTGGTCAAGCGGAGGAATCCTCCATAAGGCAAAGAGTCCCTACTTTGTCTTATGATTTTAAAGAAAACTAAAGAAGACAGGAAGAAACGAAGAACAGATCCTGAGAGAGGGGGAGAAGAGGAAGAGCTTGAGGAAAGGTAAGTTCGACATGACAGTGCCGCTTTAATGAGAATTTATCTATGTATGTGTGACATCAAATTAAAGGCTCTAAAAAACAGTATATAATATGTGTTGGTGCAATAAATGACAGAGATGCAAATTGTGTTTGAACACAAACAGCATGAAATGCAAAAATGGCTTGTGTCCTTAAGGGTAAGACAAGCTTTTGAAGGGGTTATAAAGAATACAGGGGCTGCACAATTAACAGCGTTTATAATAATTTATAGTTTACAATGCAAACAACTTTACTGTAGGCGGAAACTCATTATGTTGGCTATATTTTCACACTACAGTTAATATTAACAATGAACATATACTGAACAAAATTATAAACGCAACACTCCCATTGTTCATGAGCTGAACTCAAAGATCATTCTAAGACTTTTTCTATGTACACAAAAGGCCTATTTCTCTCAAATATTGTCTAAATCTTTTAGTGGGCACTTCTCCTTTGCCGAGATAATCCATCCACCTCACAGGTGTGGCATATCAAGATGCTGATTAGACAGCATGATTATTGCAAAGGTGTGCCTTAGGCTGGTCACAATAAAAGGCCATTCTAAAATGTGAAGTTTTATCACACAGCACAATGCCACAGATGTCACAAGTTTTGAGGGAGTGTGCAATTGGCATGCTGACTGCAGGAATGTCCACCAGAGCTGTTGCCCATGAATTCAATGTTCATTTCTCTACCATAAGCCGTCTTCAAAAGCATTTCAGAGAATTTGGCAGTACATCCAACCGTCCTCACAACTGCAGACCATGTGTAACCACACCAGCCCAGGACCTCCACATCCAGCATCTACACCTCCAAAATCGTCTGAGACCAGCCACCCGGATAACTGCTGCAACAATCTGTTTGCATAACCAAAGAATTTCTGCACAAACTGTAAGAAACTGTCTAAGGGAAGCTCACCTGCATGCTCATCGTCCTCATCGGGGTCTCGACCTGACTGCAGTTCGTCATCATAACCGACTTGAGTGGGCAAATGCTCACATTCAATGGAGTCTGGCACTTGGGAGAGGTGTTCTCTTCACGGATTAATCCCGGTTTTCACTGTACAGGGCAGATGACAGACAGCGTGTATGGTGTAGTCTGGGTGAGCGGTTTGCTGATGTCAAGATTGTGGATCGAGTGACCCATGGTGGCGGTGGGGTTATGGTATGGGCAGGTGTATGTTATGGACAACGAGAACAGGTGCATTTTATTGATGGCATTTTGAATGCACAGAGATACCGTGACAAGATCCTGAGGCCCATTGTTGTGCCCTTCATCCACGACCAATACCTCATGTTGCAGCATGATAATGCACGGCCCCATGTTGCAAGGATCTGTACACAATTCTTGGAAGCTGAAAACATCCCAGTTCTTGCATGGCCAGCATACTCACAGGACATGTCACCCATTGAGCGTGTTTGGGATGCTCTGGAATATTTGAGAGAAATCTGCCTTTTATGTACATTGAAAAAGTCTAAGAATGATCTTTAAGTTCAGCTCATGAAAAATGGGAGAAAAAACAAAAGTGTTGCGTTCATAATTTTGTTCAGTGTATAATGCTAACTTATGTTACCTGTTAATTCTATTATTATGTTTTACATTCAAATCCCATGTTTGATCTCACCAACTTTTTTGATTTACTGCTTTGTAAACAGTCTATTTTGCCCTCATCTGAATTAAATTATACCAAGTTGTATAATAATAATAATAATAATAAAAAAAAAAAAGATAAATCTAAAGTAAAAAAAAAAAAGGGGGTGGGGGGGGCTTCAAATAAAGTAAATATATAGAAGCAGAAAAAAAACCCTTTTTGTTGCACAATGGTCCTAAATCTTTGAAGTGGCTCAACCTCTCAGCTAATCCTAGCCTTCTTAATTAAGTTATTTATATTTATTTTGTCTGTTTTTTTTCCCCAGACACAGGCTTCTTCATAAAAACATTTGAGGCAGACAAAAAGGTGGACCTTGCAATATGGAGTGATGTGCAGACTGCTGCTGTTCTAAGCAACTGAGTGCAGGGAAACAGGGACATGAAGACTCCATTAATCTATACAGGAGATACATTCTTATTACCTTGGAGTGTCCCTTTAACAATACAAATGGGTGTATAACTTTTCCTGAAATACTAATCTCCATATAATGCTATACTGCATTTTGTATGAAAGGAGTACTTTAAACCAATATCTTCACTCAAGAAAAAAATACATTAATATCTGAAGGTCTTAAGGTCTTTGTACTTTAATTGAACATGCTAAGCCATGCAATGCTTAAACAGTGGACTCACCTTGAAGATTTCCAAGCTGCTGTGTAGGCCTCCACACAGTGCACATACTTTCATCAAGCTCCGATATGTGATCATATTTAGCTCAATGTTCTTGTTTTTCAGTTCTTGATGTAGTTTCATAGCATGTTGCAGGCCTGAGTCTTTCCATGGAGATTCAGCACATGCATTAAACAGAGCTGTGTATGTAGCATCTGTGGGCTTCAGATCTCGCTTCTTCATCTAAGATGCAAAATATTAAGGCAAAGGAAGAGACATATTTTTAACAAGTTTTGGTGCGTTTTTAGAAAGAATATTTACTAGTATCTACAAATTAATTTGTTGACCTTTTAAAAGAGCACACGTACATATCGGGTACAAAACAGAAAAACTACAAACAGAAACAGATGGCGGAACTTTGTGATTGTCACTTGGCATTTTAGACCAATAAACACCACATGAGCTCAACGCAGGCCTTTAGGAAGACCAGTTCGTTGCCACTGAGCCCCCAGGATTGCCTAGAAGAGTTCCACAGGGACACTTGATGGTCAGTTCCTGGATGAAAAAAAAAAAATATTACTTACCATAAATTTCATTTTCCATTGTCCAAGTGGCAGTCATCACTAATGGGTAGTTACCCTTTCCTCTCTCATAGGGCAGGGAGCATTGAAAAGGTAAAAAACAAAATGAAGTCACGATTCCTCCTAACCTTAAAAAGGGCAACTCCACCCTTAGCTTGCCAGTAAATGACAAGCTAATAGGATATGTTTTATTTTTAATCCACAGTAGAAAGGAAGGCGATATCATGACTACCACTTGGACTATGGTAAATTAAATGGATAAAAAGATATTCTTAAAGATTGCTACAAACCCCTTATATGAGGCTAACATGCAGGGCACTTGCAAGGTCTATGAAAATAAGACCTTAAAAGACCATAAGCAAACCATTAGCAAGGTCTGTGTTCTTATTTAAAACTGGAGCAAATTAAAGAAAAAATAAATATATAATGGATCCCTACAAGGGATGAGTTACTACTATTGCCAATAACACAGCTTAAAGGATCCTAACCCCTTAAGGACCAAGGCTTGATTGAGATGCAATGCGTTTGTGACAACCTTTTTAGCACTTTTGCTATGCATTCATTTTACCACAATTTCACTCTGTTAAAGGGACAATATAGTTACCAGATCAACTACAGCTTATTGAATTTGTTCTGGTGAGTATAATCATTCTCTTCAGGATTTTTGCTGTAAACACTGTCTTTGTCAGAGAAAATGCAATGTTTACATTGCAGCCTGGGGATACCTTCACCGGCCACTCCTCAGATGGCTACAAGAGGTGCATTCTGGGGGCAGTGCTGCACACCCTCTGCATGGAGACACTGAACTTGCATTGATTTAATTAATTTCTATGAGGAGATGGTGATTGAATAGGGCTGTGTTTGGTTCTGCTGGCTCTGCTTCTGATCTGCCCCCTCGACAGTCTCAGCCAATCCAATGCTTTCCTATGGGAAAGCATTGTGATTGGCCTAGACCGCCACTTCTGATTATATCGGCCAAACAGGCAGATCAGGGGCAGAGGGAGCACCAACAGACTGAAATTAAGGTAAGATTTTACTATATTTAGAAAGACAAGGCAGGGACGGAGGGGTAGATGTTGTTTTTAACACTATAGGGTCAGGAATACATGTTTGTGTTCCTGACGCTACTGTGTTCTTTTAAGTGCATCCATACATATTATAAATCAAGTTTAAAGAAGAAACAGGGCTTTCTTTTGATACCCTATAAAATTTTAAACATATGCAACAACCCCCACCCAAGCTCAATACTTCTCTTTACGTTTACTATTATTTCTTCATGTGGAATAATATGTATACATTTTTGTTCTCCATATAACATTTTGTACAATATGCTTATGCTATGAATATATATGTACCTCACACACCAATATCATTTTTGCTGCAATTACCTTTTAGTACTCAGTGCTTATGTGTTGTACTTTCCTTGGGAAAAAAACTATTAAAGTATTAACCCCTAAATAAAAAAGAATCTAAAATTTGAACGAGATATGTCTGTTCATGCATAATTTTCCTCTTTCACATTAAGGGCACACTTAATATATAATTTTGTCCAGGAAAAATTGAGCTTTTATTTCACATTAAATATTTACATATGAAACACTGTTTAATTTGAATAAAATCTAAAAAAGTGCTGCATTTTCAGCCTGGGTTATTATAACATTATATATATATATATATATATATATATATACACATATATATATATATATATACACAAAAATGAAAACAGGAGCACTCTCTTGGATTTCCAAAATATATTTAAAAAAATCACCACCTCTACATCAACGTCGCGACCCTTCAGGGTCTTTATCTTGATAAAGACCCTGAAGGGTCGAAACGTTGATAGATATATATATATATATTCCAAACAACACCAGCACTCTGGGATTTTCAAATATTTCTTCTTTATCCAAGCAAATCCAGTTCAACGTTTCAGCTTCTCAGTGGAGCTTTCATTGGGACATACTGTGCGGATTTCCTGATGAAAGCTCCGTTGAGGAGCTGAAACGTTGAACTGGATTTGCTTGAATAAAGAAGAAATATTTGGAAATACCAGAGTGCTGGTATTGTATAGAATATCTACTTTATGTGACTTGGCACTTGGTGTTAATATTTACGTTTGAGTGCAAGTGCCTGAACTTGTGTGGGTGTGTGTATATATATTTATAGATCTGCAGTCCCCCTGCAGTTAATCTGTCAATCTTGCTGATCTCAGTCATGTGATTGTGGTGTCATTCCAATCACAAGCTCAAATCGGCAGGACTGGCTGAGGAGGGAATGCCTGGGTTGTAAGGGATCCGGCGAGGAGGGCGAGTATTTGTGCAGGAGGGAGGGCCAGATCACTAGGGCGTGCTATGTCGCCCTAACGGCTTTAAAGCCCTCCTTTTGTATGACGGCATAGCATGCTATAATGTTTGGAATTAATTAAATTAAGAAATAATTTTAAACACTTTAAAAACCAATTCTGTTTAAACAAAACCTCTAATAATTAAGTAACGTTTGCTGTAGCACCTACATCAGAGTACAAGCTGAAGGCTTTCTTTACGTATCCGGCTCTCCCGCATCCTCCTATCAGAATAGTGTAGTTACTTTCCTCGGGTTGCAGACGCTCCTCCTGCAGCATATTTGTTTCAAACAGCTCCAATGCCTCGGCTAACTGTGAATCAAAGAGAGAATTACACCGTGAAGGTTAAGCAGGCAGTTCTTACATTAAAACACAAATATGGAACTTGATGCATTTTTGGGGGGGTTTTGTTTTTTCAATCTGAAATCTAGACTAAAAAAATAAAATAAAAAAAAATAAAATTGGAATCAATACAACGCAGAGACATTAGACACCAAGACCCACCGCTCACACAGAGTATAACCCCTTTACTGGAGATGGAGTTACGCCACCAGCAGTGTCAGTTCTGTCCATATTGGATGTTTGTTGTCAGCACACACAGCATAGTGGCGACAGGTGTCCAATGGTGGCACCCCTCCAATCTTCCAAGCATGCTGTCCTCTCTGACATCCCGCCCCTCCAGCAAGAGGGAGTGATGTCAGCAGAGGAGAATTGCCACCAGCAATCTAGCACATGGAGAGGTATAACCGAGATTGAAGCGTACATTTTACACTTTAACAGATAATCTTATGTGTATGTGCTTACCTTGCCTTCTTTTATTTTGCTTTTGCACTGTAGGAAGTACCAGTAGGGAGTGTTTCTTCTTGATACCTTTTGTAGAGGTAATGTTTCTTTCTCTTCTATTTCATCTTCTGCATGTCTCAGGTTTTGCAGATCTGGGGACGTTTTCTTGAACACAGCTCTGGATGAATACTTTTGGGATAATGTTCCAAAATCATCCTCTGTACTATCCTGTGCATCACTAGTGGAATTATCAGACTCAAATGTATGAATCCTCTTTCTTCTTGGCGCTGAGTGCTGGGTATGTGTTGAAGTGCAATAATACTTGGTTGTGAACAAAAATGACCCATGCCAGTTAGTGGAAAAGTCACATATGTGTGTTTGGTAAATCGTTCTATGCAACAGAACCGCCTGGCAGACACATCTTGGGACCTGGAAATGATGTGACATGCAACGAGTGACAAACTGCAGGAGTCGCATGTTAAGAGCAAAAATCCAATTACTGACTGGACATGTTGATGAACTGAAGAAAAAAAAAAGCATATAAAACAATTTGAGATGTTAGTTGTGTAACGTAAAATATATTTAAAATACTGTAGCAGAGCTTACATATCTTAGAAATGCAAAGTTTTGCTAAACCAGTAGAAGTGGAAAAATAGCTGGTGATTTTCAACTGATTACAATTCTTGGTTTAGAGAAGAAATCCAGTTTTGCATTCTTACAATTACCCATTAGTGAGTACTTCTGAAAGATAAAAAATCATTCCATTAATTCATCACACTGATCAGATAATGGGGTATATTGCAAATAAGCCGCATGCATTTGTTTTGCAAATCAGATATTGCTAATGGGAGCGGTAAGATCCAGTAGGATGCAAGCCCCAAGAGATAAATTATTTTTAGACAATACACAGAGAAAACAAGATATAATGAACAAACAGGGAATTTAATCCATTGGGAATGCTTAGGAATTGATCTTGAAAATTCGAATGCTAGGCCAAAATATTGAAGGTGGAAGATTAGGAGAGCTAGAGATTTTTTTTCTCTCCAATTTTAGCCTTAAATTTGATATTCCCTGGTAAATTCCAGACAATATTGGTTTAGTATATAATTCTGACTATTTGTAAAATTCATACATCATGTCATTTGAAGATACTGTTTTAACTGTTGATTTGCATGTTTTTTTTGTTCTGTGATTTATAAATGGTTCTGAATTATCTGCTAACCAGTATATCCATGGGTAAATAGCTTTATTGGCTACAATGTATTTATTGCAGTGGCACGGACTATAAACTTGAAGGTTACGGGATAACTTTCAAACTCTTGTCTCCATTGACTTCAATGATGCACTCTCACGCTTACGCAAGAGTACAGATGTAAATCTCACATTCACCTGCACCTGATGTCATTGTCAGGGGCATTTGTAAATTCTGTAAAGTCCCCAGATAGTGACAGTGCCGCTTTAACCCTGCAATTTTAGAGAAACTGCAATGTTTACATTGCAATGGTAGGACTCCCTATAGTGGCTGTCTACCAGACAACCACTAGATGACCTACCTGCAGTTTTATGGAGTTTGGCTCAGTGAAACATCCTCCAAGTTTGCATGGACCGCCAGCATGTTGAAAGTCACTATAAAAAAATTATTACCAGCTGACCGTTGAATAGTCATGTATACATAAGCCAGAATGTAATAATAAGTAGTACATTGCTCACTTATTATTGTTTTATGCTTTGTATTAAAGGATCACTATAGTGTCAGGAAAACAAAGTGGTTTTCCTGACACTATATAATCCTTGGTGGACCCTCACCCTCAGGGTCCTATGGACGCTCTGCGGGATGGAGGCATAATATGCCTCCAGTGTGGCAGATGCGCCTCTAGTGACTGTCCGGAAGACAGCCACTAGAGGCTGGCTTAACCCCAAATGTAAACATAGCAGTGTTTGCACCTGAAGGGTTAAAACCTGAGGGATCTGGCATCCAGACTACTTCATTGATCTGAAGTGGTCTGGGTGACTATAGTGTCCCTCAAAGTTTGAGCAATCAGACGTTTTTACCTTTTATAAATAAAAAAGAGTGCAAAGTGGGCAACTTGGGGAAAAACACCTACAAGGTCAAGCCCTGAAGACATCACTTTTTTGCTAACGTTATAATGAATAAATCTTTTGTACCAATAATAAACTGAAATAAAAATATTAAAGAAATCTGTCACTGAGTTATTTACTATACTCTGAAATTAAAACCAAAACTTAAAGACCAAACTTCTGGAATAAAAGAGAATCATGACATGTCACGTGTCCTTAAGGGGTTAAACTTTAAAGGCCCAATATAGTGCCAGGAAAACATATTCATTTTCCTGGCACTATAGTGCCCTGAGGGTCCCCCTCCTGCCGGGCTGGATGGAGAGGAAGGGGTTAAACTTACCTCTTTCTCCAGCGCCGGGCTGGGAGCTCTCCTCCTCCTCGGCTGAATGCGCATGCGCTGCAGGAGCCGCGCGCGCATTCAGCCAGTCCATAGGAAAGCATTCACAACGCTTTCCTATGGACGCTGGCGTCTTCTCACTGTGAGAAGCGCCTCTAGCGGCTGTCAATGAGACAGCCACTGGAGGCTGGATTAACCCTAACATAAACATTACAGTTTCTCTGAAATTGCTATGTTTACAGCAGGCAGGGTTAACCCTAGCTGGACCTGGCACCCAGACTGCTCATTAAGCTGAAGTGGTCTGGGTGCCTAGAGTGGTCCTTTAAGGTCAAACTGGCCGATCTGAAAGATTCCTCATAGTGAATAGCTTTCAGTTGGATCCCTTTTGAAGTTCACTGTGAATTCGCTGTATGAATAGCCCAGCTCTTATTAACAGACATTGTGTATCCGCTCCAGCTCGGTGATAATATCCGTGTCATGCAGAATGGCTGCGGACGGGAGCGGTATAACGCGGTATAACTCGGTATAACGCGGTATAACTCACTGGCACAGCGCGTCCTGTTCTCACACACACACACACTCACGGACTCTCCTCCCACCATGCTCTGTCCTGGCCACTTCCTGTTCCCGGCGTGCACCGGGCCTCCCCCTTCCCGGCGTGCCCTGCGCGGTGTGGCTGCTCTCTCTCTGTGTGAGGCTGGTGCTGGTGCTGGCGCTGTGGAGGCCGAGGCTGATGCTTGTAGACGGTGTTGGGGGACTCGGAGCCGGTCACAATGCAGGAGCTTATCGCCTGTGTGGATCACATCCGGTTCGACCTGGAGCTCGCTGTGGAACAGCAGCTGGGGGCCCAACCGCTCCCCTTCCCGGGAATGGACAGTATGTATCCGGACTGTGACTGTACCCAGGGCCGAGCCTGCAGCCTCTCTCTATACACACACACACACACACATCGGGAGAGCACACTGCTCACACTGCCTTGGCCTGCTGGCTGCGCTCCCCGGCTGCTGGCTGGGTATTGGGAGTTGCGCTCCCCGGCTGCTGGCTGGGTGTTGGGAGTTGCGCTCCCCGGCTGCTGGCTGGGTGTTGGGAGTTGCGCTCCCCGGCTGCTGGCTGGGTGTTGGGAGTTGCGCTCCCCGGCTGCTGGCTGGGTGTTGGGAGTTGCGCTCCCCGGCTGCTGGCTGGGTGTTGGGAGTTGCGCTCCCCGGCTGCTGGCTGGGTGTTGGGAGTTGCGCTCCCCGGCTGCTGGCTGGGGGTTGGGAGTTGCGCTCCCCGGCTGCTGGCTGGGTGTTGGGAGTTTGCGCTCCCCGGCTGCTGGCTGGGTGTTGGGAGTTGCGCTCCCCGGCTGCTGGCTGGGTGTTGGGAGTTGCGCTCCCCGGCTGCTGGCTGGGTGTTGGGAGTTGCGCTCCCCGGCTGCTGGCTGGGTGTTGGGAGTTGCGCTCCCCGGCTGCTGGCTGGGTGTTGGGAGTTGCGCTTCACGGCTGCTGGGTTTTGTGAGTCGCAGAATATTGGTATTCACACTTTACAGTTGCTGGCTGAATGTTGAGAGTTGTATGATTGCTGTGGATTGTCAGAGAGTTAACTAATGGTGTTTCATCATGGTAACAAACTGCTAACTTTTACAAATAGTGCTCTCAATCAAACTTAAAGGACCACTATAGGCACCCAGACTACTTCAGCTCAGTTGAAGTGGTCTGGGTGCCAGGTCCATCTAGGGTTAACCCTGCAGCTGTAAACTGTTTACATTAGGGTTAATCCAGCCTCTAGTGGCTCTCATTGAAAATCAGTGAGAAGACGCTGACGTCCATAGGAAAGCATTGAGAAATGCTTTCCTATGGACTGATTAAATGCGTGCGCGGCTCTTACCGCGCATGCGCATTCAGCGCTGACATCGGAAGAGGGAGGGAGCCCGGCTCTGGAGAAAGGTAAGTTATTAACCCCTTCCTCCCCCTTCAGCCTGGCGGGAATGGGACCCAGGGGGGAGGTGGAGGGGGGAGGAGAACCTAAAGACCCTACAGTGCCAGGTAAACGAGTTTGTTTTCCTGGCACTATTGCGGTCCTTTAAAGGGATTCTATAGTCACCAAAACAGCTTTAGCTTAATGAAACATTTTGGAGGTATAGATCTTGCCACTGAAGACTCACTGTTCACTTCACTGCCGTTTAGGTGTTCAACCACTTTTGTTTCTGTCCATGCAACCCTTGCCACACACACCCATTAGCTGTGACTGACACAGCTTGCATGGAAACGAAAATGGTTTCATTTTTATCAGATGTTAACTTACTTTAGAAGTTTTTACATCCTGCTCTGTAAATTGAACTTTAGTAACAGTGCAGAAGATAAGAAATTCTAAATTAAACAGAATTTGAAATAAAGGAAGTTTAAACAGACTCTGTACAGGAAGTGTTTAGGAAGGCTTTGCACCTTACATGCAGGAGGTGTAATGAAGGCTGCATAGGTGTTTTAACTGGAAAAAAAAAATAACAGAGAATTGAGCAGTGAGACGGCAGGGGCATGAACAGGTTCAGAAAAGTGTAAGTGCGATACTTTTTTTTTTTTTTTTTCCTGCCCTTTTGCTGTAAAATGTACTACACTATATTTGTATTCCTGTCCCCTTTTTTAATCTTTTATACTGCTCTATTGGATTCTGAAACCTGTAAAGCACTGCTTCCCTACATTCCCTACATTCCCTTTTCTATTCTCACCTACGACCAGAAGGAAGAGACTCTAGTTTGAGAAGTTCGAGCTGCTACATAAACAAAAAGGAAGCGCCAGAAATCTAATTTATTATATTTTGTACACTAAAACTGCTTCATTAAACTGCATTTATTTTGTTGACTATAGTGCCCTTTTAAATTGATCAATGATGGCTAAGTTTTGGCATTAAAACATGTAAGTATTTTACACGTGATTCCCTGCCATCCTTTGTCAAGATCACTTTTTATTTGATATTAGGCAAAAAATATATACAATGCCACTATAACCCAATTCATAATCGAAATAGCGGATTAATGGAATACTCCAAGCACCATAACCACTAGAGCCCACTGTAGTGGTTGTGGTACCTGGGTTGAGTTATACCACTTGTTAACAGCTTGACAGTTTACCTGGGGTCCAGTGGGCGTCTGTTTTTTCTTCTTCTCGGCCTAGAAGCAGCACCTCTGAGCTAAGTACAGCAGTGTAGGCCCTAGCTCACCTGCTGAGCCAATAAGCTGGCATTGCAGAACTTTCAGTTAAGCAACTCTGTCCTTAAATTTGAATTTGATTTTAAATTCTCATTTTAGTGAATAACCCTGTTAGTGTTGTGGTAGACTTCTCTGCTTCCTTTGCAAATCATCCAGCATCCTGATTCCTGACTGATAGTGTCAGAATGCGATTTGACCTCACACCTCCTGGCAACACACTGACTGTATACATTGCTCTGCAGTACAAGAGTGTGGATGAGCTGTGTTTTTGCTGTCAGTTTACTTAGACAGCTCTTCTTCTCTCTATATGTCATGTAAAGAGCTGTTGACCTAACTCTGGCCCCCTAGATGTTGCTGAACTACAACACCCATGATTCTTTGAATTACATAGATAGCCAGAGAATCGTGGGAGTTGTAGTTCAGCAACATCTGGGGGGAAGGGGTGGAGTTTGAGGACCACTGACCTAGAGTATCCTTGCCATCCTCAACACTCATAGACGTGACGGGATGTGCCTTGCTCTAACTGCTGGAGGATAGATGGTCTTACTGATTCAATAAAAATACAGATCTTATTTACGAGTTGCATATAAGAAAACATACTAAATGTAATTTTCTGATGCAACAGACTTCAAAGAAGAGGAAATATCAGCTTAAGAATATAGTAATTAAAGTTAAAGAACAGTGCTGGAGTTAGTTAGAAAGCTGAATGATGAAACAAAATCTATGCATTTTTAAGCATGACTAGACATGATTTGAAGCATAGTTAACTGGTTATTTTGTTCAGTGAGGTTTTTGTTGTGCTGTTTGTATGTAGGTGTACCACAATGTCTCTTTTACCATGAGAGCTATTTTGTAGTATTTCTTATGTATAATGTTTTTCTTTTGCAGAATCTGGTGCTGCTGTCTGTGAGTTCTTCCTTAAGTCAGCATGTGTAAAAGGTAATTAAGACAATGCTGATTTATGTGCAACTGGTATTATTACTGGACCTTTGACGCTCATGGATTTTTATGCTCCGGGCCACGGGTTAAATGAATATTAATGGTTAAAGAATAAAATTGATATTTAAATAGTCCTGCTTTTCCCACTTATGGTAGTAGCATTTCTTTTTAGTCCTTGTGCTTAAAGGTGCTGTATATACACAATAATAACGAGTTTCCACATTATAATGGTACCATTCCCCAGTTCTTGTTCAAACTGATTTTGATATGTAGAGAATCAGATTCCACCCTTTCATTATACAGGCCAAGTGCCTCTCAAATTGGTGGCGTGAACATTATTATTTTTTTTTTTTTTAAATCTTAAATGGAGCATTGTACCTGCATTCTTTTCCCAAAGGCATCTGATTCCACAGTACATCAGTACATCTGCCTGATTCCACAATGTTCATCAAGCAGGAGAGGAGGAGGAAGATTATACTGTCCTTAAACTCTGTCCTCTGTGGGGAAGTGTTCATTTTGGGTCCCATTTTTCTTCTTTGTACAATTTCTTCTTGGAGAGAGTACAAAGTGAAGGCCTGTGGAAGGTCTCTACAAGTAAATTTATGAATGTGTGTTGAGAGAGCATTGAGTGAAATGATACTGCAAAAGGTGACGGGAAAAGGCAAGATATAGCAACAGAAGTGGTTTGAAGCACTACCTTTTGCCATTTTTTGCCCTATCAGCACATAAACATGACAAGGTAGTCCCCACTGCGTTTTTAATTGCTATGGATTTTAAGTCTTATTGAGCGTTCATAAAAAAAACCTCAAAAGTAATAGTCCTGTTTTAATTACAAATTAAGAATTTATTTACAGACCATTATTTGAACTTCCCTAGTACTAATTATTTTTCTATGTGGTTTCTGATATTTTGATTTAGGAGGGATGTGCCCTTTTCGACACATCAGCGGGGAGAAGACGGTGGTTTGTAAACATTGGTTGCGTGGTCTGTGCAAGAAAGGTGACCAGTGTGAATTTCTCCATGAATATGACATGACCAAGATGCCAGAGTGTTACTTCTACTCTAAATTCGGTAAGTGATGTAGATTATTCCATGCAGCAATTATGATTACTGTACTTACATGTTTAAAGCTTATTTCTGTGTATTACAGCATATAAGGTGTACGATTTAAAAACAAAACAAAAATGCTTCCAATCAAAAATTTCCGTTTTCTCCATATCCGGGGAAAACTTCTGCTTGCTCCGTCACAAAATAGTTAACCTTTTTCTTCTTATGTGACAGTAAAACGCACTAATACATGAGCTAGTTGGCACTGCTGGTAGCCTTACTTAAAGGATTATTCCAAGCACCCTGACCACTTCTGCAAATTACATCTGTTGTCAGCGCGCATTGCCGCTGGGGACAAACATAATAATTTTCTACCTTATTTGTAGCATACTTTGATGTTGCTGGAGACACACAGTTTCAAAACCATTGCTCTGGATGATTTTAATTGCAAGAAATTTTTCTGTATTTGCAGATTTATGTGGGAAGGTGGCAGCAATTAATCAAACTAACCTGTTTTTTTTTTAATTTTTTTACATCTGACAGCAGAATGCAGTAACAAAGAATGTCCATTTCTACACATTGATCCAGAATCAAAGATCAAAGATTGTCCTTGGTATGATCGTGGCTTCTGTAAACATGGTAAGAATGGATGTTTGTAAAATTCTGCAACATAACTTTGCATTCATCTTTAACTTGTCAAACACTGAACGTGTGTGTGTATATATGTGTGTGTGTGTGTGTGTATATATATATATATATATATATATATAATATGTGTGTGTGTGTGGATAATATATATTAATATTTTGTCACTTTTCTAGGCCCTCTTTGTAGGCACCGACACACACGCAGGGTCATTTGTGTCAACTACCTTGTGGGATTCTGTCTGGAGGGTCCTAACTGTAAATTCATGCAGTGAGTATCATTTATTTTTATGACTTTCTCTATGCTCTGTTGATATTCCTGGGTACTTGGCATAAGTATGTTTGCAGACATGTTTCAGTAGTACCACGTTTACCACCACAACATTTCTAGTAGCATGAATATTGCTCATTGTCATATTTATTTTTCATTATAAAAAAAACAAAACAATCTGTATAATTCTCATAAGGTTGTGTTGTATTGGGCATTTAGATCCTTTTTATAATTAATTTTGTGCTACTGTACCCCATGGATTATACATTGATCAGCCACAACATTAAAACCACTGACCGGTGAAATGACTAGGTGGGATGTATTGTGCAGCAAGTGGACCTCCAGTTCTTGATTTCATGTGTTAGAAGCAGAAAGATCTGAGTGACTTTGACAATATCCAAATAGTGAGGCGACTGGGACAGAGTATCCTCTAAACGGCAAGTTATTTGGGGTGTTTAAAGTGTGCAGTAGCTAGGAACTAACAAAAGTGGTGCAAGGAAAGATGACCGGTGAACTGGCATGAGGGTCATTTTTGCCCAAGGCTTCATTGATGCACGTTGGAAACAAAGGCTAACGCTTATGGTCTGATCACCCTGAAGAGCTTCTTAAGCTCAAATTGCTGAAAAACGTAATCCTGGCCATGATAGAAAGGTGTGAGAACACAAAGGGTACCGCAGTTTGCTGCAGCTGTTTAGCCATGATGACCCATGTCCACCACTGAAAGCGCCTTCAATGAGAACGAGAGCATCACAAATGGAAGATGGAGCAATAGAAGAAGGTTGCCTTGTCTGGTGAATCACATTTTCTTTTAGATCAGTTGGAGGAGATGGTAACAGGAAGAAGGCAGGCAAGTGGAGGCGATGTTATGCTCTGGGCAATGTCTTGCTGGGAAACCTTGGGTCCTGGCATTCATGTGGGTGTTACTTGGACACATACCACCTAGAGATTGTTGCAGACCATGTACACCCCTTCATGGCAATAGTCTTCCCCAATGGCAGTGGCCTTTGGAGCAGGATTTTGTGCCCTGCCACACTACACAAATTAATCAGTAATGGTTTGAGGAACATGACAAAGAATTGATGGTGTTGCCTTGGCCTCCAAATTTCCCAGATCTCAATCCAATTGAGCATCTGTAGAATTTGCTGGAACAACAAATCCGATCCATAGATACTCCACCTTGCTGCTAATGCCTTGGTGCCAGTTACCACAGGGCACGTTCAGAGGTCTTGTGAAGTCCATGCCTTGAAAGTATCAGAGCTGTTTTGGCAGCATGAAGGGAGACATTCACTATGCTAGGCCAGTGGTTTTAATGTTGTGGCTTTGTCACAGTAGCTGCTGAATTATCCATATTTTGTAGAATAAATCTCTACGTACAACACACTTTATAACTCTGAAGCATCTCTTCATGTAGTATACAGATTACAAAGGGACCGGAAATAATAAATAACATAGAATGCATATATTTGTATGAAGAATGATCACCTTTGCAGAAAAGTTTAAATCCTATCAAGGACCAAATGTGTGCTTGATTATTTTTGGCATTTATATAGCGCCAACTTATTCACCAGCAGTTTAGAATATTTTAAAAAGGGGACATTTAACAATAAATGAGACAGTTACAATATGTACGAACAAAGGAACAATAGGTTGATGAGGATCCTGCTTGTAAGCAAAAGTGATTATGCTGTCACTTTTGTGATCACTAAAATTACAAAAGTATTTACATTTTTGCATATAGATTTTTCTCCGAACTTTGTTACATATAATTGTAAACCTTTGTTTTATATGCTTTTAATAGTAAGTGAAAGTCTCTTTGTATTTTTGCAGTCCGCGGTTTGAATTGCCTATGGGCACTACGGAGCAGCCCCCTCTACCTCAGCAAACGCAGATCCAGCAAAAGGTATTCCTTTATTTCAGGCATCTCACACACCTATCTGTTTGGAATTTTGTTCTGTTTCTTTGACTACTTTTTATTCCTACAGCAAAATAACAACCAGGTGTTACAGAGATCATCCTCCCTCATTCAGTTAACAAGCCAGAACTCGCCTGTCAGTGTGCAGCGTTCTCCTCAGACTATTGGTGTCATGCAGCACCAAAGCAACAACATGGGTAATAGAGGCCCAAGACCTCTGGACCAGGTTACTTGCTATAAGGTCAGTATGATTTTGAAGTAGTTGAATGCTTATATTTGTGTTCTGTCCTGCATTGCTCCTTTGTCTTTCTTAGTCACAGTGATTGAGAGAGAATGACTGACAGTGTTGGGTTAAAGGAAATCTCTAGCTCAGTGTAGTGGTTATGGTACTGGGAGTGCCCTGATGCCCCTGTGCATTCAAAAAGTATTCGGATCCTTTCATTTTTTTTTTATGTTGCAGCCTTATGCTAAAATTATTAAACTTGAAGGGCAACTGTCACCTCAAATTTTTTTTTAATGTTTTGAGATGACTGTTGTTCTTGTTTATTTTTCACATCAATCTACCCTCAATACTCCACAATTACACAGCAGATTTTTGACACCATTGCAAATATATTAAACAGAAAAACAATGAAATATCACATAGACAATAATATTCAGACCCTTAACCCAGCAGTTAGTTAAAGCACCTTCGGCAACGATTACATCCTCAAGTCTTTTGGGTATGATGAGACAAGCTTTTCATACCTGGATTTGTGTAGTTTTCCCCATTTTTCTCTGCAGATCCTCTCAAGTTCTGTCAGTTTGGATTCGCACAGTCTCTGGCAAGCCATTTTTAGGTCTCTCAAGAGATGTTCGCTTGTGTTAAAGTCTGGGCTCTGGCTGGGCAGCTCAAGGACATTCACAAATTGTCTCCAAGCCACTCTTGTATTGTCTTGGATGTGTGCTTAGTGTAATTGTTCTAGTTCCAGTCTAAGGCCCTGAGCGCTCTGGGACAGGTTTTCATTTAGAGTATCTTTGTATTTTGCTGTGTTTAGCTTTCCCTGAATCCTTACTAGTCTCCCAGTCCTACAGCTGAAGTCCCCCCCACCCCCACCCCCCCCAAAGCATGATACTATCACCATACTTCATTATTTGCTTGGTATTGCATAGGTGATGAGCGGTGCCTGGTTTCCTCCAGACATGACTCTTAGAATTGATGACAAATTGTTCAATCTTTGTTTCATCAGAGCAGAGAATCTTGTTTCTTACAGTCAGTCATTTAAAGGGATTCTATAGTATACGGCATACAAAGCTGTCTCACAGTGGTTTTGATAAATATATTTTTTTTAAGAATGCAGTTGATGAGATTTATCCAGCAAACAAATGGAATGGTGTGGTCTAGTGTGTAAAGTATGTATGTAACCCTGTACAGCAGTGTAATGCTCATACAGCCATAATGCTAGCAAACATCAGGGGAGGTGTAGTCCATAATACTGTAATTCCAAAGGGTGCCTACCCCATCTCTAGGTAATATGCAGTGCAACTGCAGTTGTAGTTTTCCTAATCCGCTCAATAAGCTAATCGCAGCTATGCACAAAAATAATTAAACTGGGCATTCTCTTGGGATGAACAAGAAACCTTTCTGGAGACTTGCAGGTACAAAATATGCCTTTTTTCTATCCAAGTTTTGTAGCAAAACAGAGCCCTGTTCACATCTTACAAAGTATTTATATTTATATGGTAATCTAGGGTAAAAAACATTGAGTTTAACCTTTTATATCACACAATTAATGCTCTTGACCCAAAAGAAGGCAAATCACTAATAATCTCCTAAATGTTATCCTCTTAAGGACGCAGCTTCAGAAGATGGACTTACACTTAAAGGACCACTATAGTGCCAGGAAAACAGTCTCCTGGCACTATAGGATCTTTAGGTCCCCCCCCACCCTCAGGGTCCCACTCCTGCTGGGCTCAAGGGGTTAAACACTTACCTTTCTCCAGCGCCGGACTCCCTCTGCGCTGGGGAACTCTCCTCCCTCTGCCGACGTCAGCACCAAATGCGCAGGCAAGAACCGCGTGCATGCATTCAAACAATCCATAGGAAAGCATTTCTCAATGCTTTCCTATGGATGTCCAGCGTCTTCTCACTGTGATTTTCACAGTGAGAAGCGCCTCTAGTGGCTGTCAATGAGACACTAGAGGCTGGATTAACCCTAGTGTAAACATAGCAGTTTCTCTGAAACTGCTGTGTTTACAGCTTGCAGGGTTAACCCTAGATGGACCTGGCACCCAGACCACTTCATTGAGCTGAAGTGGTCCTTTAACGACACAAGTAATGTTTGCATATTTTTGCTATTTGTGTTCAACTGCAATTTGCATCTTTCTCGTTTATTGCACCAACACATTACATTACTTTTTTTTTTTTTTTGCCGTGCATATGAAAATACAACACGCATGGGGTACCCCAACGGCAATCCTCATGCTTTTGTTTTAAAGACATTTATAATTGTATACCTTTTTTAAGGGACAAAAGGGGCTTTAATTTGATGTGGCAAATACATATATAAATATGTATTTATTATTACATACCAAAAGAGTTGTGGTGGATGCAAGTGGATAGTTAATACATTGCCAAATACTTGCTTTTGCCACAGAAATCTCACTTTAACAGTGCTCTCACTACTGCAAAGGATTCTGGGTAGGCATATTTACTGATGTGTGTATTTGTGTTTAGCTATCCACTTCAGGTGGAAGGGGTTTTCATCCCAATTTTTTTTCCCACCACAACTTTTGGTATGTACTTTACAAGTAACTTCAAGCCTCCACAGCAAGCAAGTAAGTCTGCCCTAGACAGCCACTGGGGGCGCTTCTGGAATCCAAACGGACCTTTGGTCCATTATCTCACGCTCTGCATGAAGACCTCCATTGTCAGATTTTCCCCATAGGAAATCATTTAATAAAGCTTTCTTATGGGGAAGTCTATTGTGCGCGCGGCCTTTGCTGCGCATGCACATTAGGTCTTCCCCACCAGCTGACATCGGCATGGGAGGAGCCTGACCAGCGCCAAGTTACATCGGCGCTGGCTTCAGGTAAGTGGCAGAAGGGGTTTTACCCTTTTAGCCCCATGGTAGGGAGGGGTGGACCTATTAAACCTACAGTGCCAGGAAAACAGCTTTGTTTTCTTGGCACTATAGAATCCCTTAATAATAAATCTAATACTTAATCTAAATCAAATCATTATCCTTAAATTAATTATAATCCCTAAGATTCCCCAATGCTAATATCAGTTCTGATATTTGTAAAGTGATTCTACACTCAAGAAGACAGTGGTACGTTGCTGCCATCTACTGGCTATTTTCAGTATTGCTGTCTTCTATCTCTAATACTAAAGACATTATGCTCAATGCATTGTGATCAGTGCTGGGCAACTGAAAAAACCCAGCACTGATCAGAGTGGCATTGGGGCATAGAGAGTGACCCTCCAGGGTCTGTTCAGACCTTGTAGGTTTCCCCAGCACCATATCAACTGAGAAAATCACTCTAGCTGAGCCTGCTAGCTCAGCTGCAATGTTCTCTATGGAGTTAAAGGGCTACATGCAGTGCTGGCTTTCAGCACTGCATGCAGCTCATCAAAACATCTGTGGCCCCATCTGACAGAGGGGAGCCCCGGGTTTCTAATAATAATTGGGTATTCTGGTGTGAACAGGGATTTAATCCTGCTCACCCTGTGATCTAGATATAGGCATATATATGCCTATTTAAGCAGCTACATGCCGTGCTGACTTCCAGCAGGCATCTAGCTCCTCAAAAAGTCAGGGGCCACTAAAAATGGCCCCAGCTGATACATTAATACCTGGGACTCCCTGGTGTGAGCAGGGCTTTAACCCTGCTCACATCACATTATACCAGCGGGGATTTAAATGCCTGTTTGCAGTGCTGTCTTTGAGCTCTGCAAACAGAGCATCGGTCAGTCTGGGACCACTAATTCTGGCCCCATGTGACAGAGGGGAGTCTCAGGAATCAAATGATACCTGTGGTTCCCAGTTACCAACAGGGAAACAGTCACTGTTGGAAAAATACTGCATGCCAGAAAGGGGTTAAAGGAAAAACATGAAATATCAATAATAAAAGAAAAAAATTCTACAAGTTGAAAAATATAACTATAAACTAAAAAAAACAAAACAATAAGGTCCAATTGTAAAAGTAATTACAGTGTAGTTGATCTAAGCTGCACCGTTAGAGGGTGGGGGGAGGTTTAGAATTGTCATAATAACCCTGAACATGGATAATGTCAGATATAAAATGTTAACCTGCTATGAGAAAACAGAATAAATAGCATACATTACAAAAGAAGTGAGAGAAACACTTTAGACTAGAGCAAGGGTTCCCAACCCAGTCCTCAAGTACCCCCTAACAGTCCAAGATTTAGGGATTACCCTGTTGTGTCAAAAGTGTTTTTAGAAGAATTTAAAAAAAACACCTTAGACACAACTGGGTAATTTCTAAATCCTGGACTGTTAGGGGGTACTTGAGGACTGGGTCTGGACTAGAGCTATGTAAATAGAGAATGACTGTTCTAAATATTCTCCTAAGACCTAGCCCATTAACATGTGTCCTTTGTACTGGACCTTTAGTTCACATGCATCTCCTTTTATTCTTTTGAGCTACTCTATCAATCCCTGCTGTATTGTAAAGAGGACATCCTGGGCTTTCCAGTGATTTGTCATGTTATAGGCTAGGATTCTGGGAGCTTCCTCTTCCTTTTAATAACAAATGGATGGCATAGCAACACCAAATTAATGGGCTGGGTTTCAGGAGGATATAAATATTGTTTGACAGCCATACGCTGTTCGTTAAAACAAATATTTTTTCTCATTCAATTGTAAATGTGTTAATTCCCCACAAAATATGGCACTGTACATACCTTACATGTTAATTAATAATTCAGAGATCTTAACAGAAAATACCCTTAAAGGGACACTAGTCAACAGAACAACTGCAGCTTATTGTAGTTGTTCTGGTGTCTATACCATGTCCCTGCAGGGTTTTTGCAGTAAACACTGAATTTTCAGAGAAAATGGTAGTCTACAATCTATGGATCCCTCCACTGGCCACTCCTCAGATGGCTACTACAGGTGTTTCCTTGGGCAGTGCTGCACAGTGTCTCCACCCTCTGCATGAAGACACTGAAGTTTCCTCATAGACTTGCATTGATTGGCCAGGGAGGCTTTTGGCTGCAAGCCTGCCTGTTTGGCTGAGATCATCAGAATTGACAATCTCAGCCAATCCAATACTTTCCTAGAAGAAAGCATTGTGGTTGGCTGAGATCATCATCACCATCACTTCTGATTATGTCAGGTTTGTCTGCAAAAAAAAAAAGGGGAAAAAAACATCTTTTGAGGTCCGTGAAAGAGGGGGCAGTTTTAAACTGAAGCCTTTGTACTGAGCTACGGGATTTGCTGGTGCTTTATAAGTAATATAATGATTTGTGTTTTAGCCAATTTTTGCAGTGCTAAGCTACTGTGTCCAGTAACATGGCATGCATTTCCTTGCATTCTTTTCTATGAGCATAGGTTTTTAAAGGGACAGTAAACACCAAAACAACTCTAGCTTAATGAGGCAGTTTTTGTGTCCCTGAAGTTTCACTGCTCAATTCACTACCATTTAGGAGTTAAATCACTTTTGTTTCTGTTTATGCAGCCCTAGCCACACCTTTTCTGGCTGAGAATGGAAGGGATATCCTTTGTAAAATGTATTTAGAATCCTAAATAGCCGAGTGGGCAGAGCTTACCCTATTGTGATTCTGCTATGGATTAGCCAGGAAAAAATGGTTTCATTTTTAATCAGATGTTGATTTGCTTAAAATGTTTTTATCTCCTGCTCAGTAAATCGAACTTGAAATACGTACAGGAGGCTCCTGCAGGGTCTAGCAAGCGAATACCAGAGCAGGAGATAGGAAATTCTAAACTAAACAGAATTTGCAATAATGGAAGTGTAAACATTAGATGACTCTCTTTACAGGAAGTGTTTAGAAAGGCTGTGTAAGTCACATGCACGGAGGTGTACATAGGGTTGCATAAACACAGTGGTTTAACTCTTAAATTTCAGAGAATTGAGCAGTAAGATTACAGGGGGTATGATCTATACACCAAAACTGTTTAATTACGCTAAAGTTGTTTTGGTGACTATTGTGTCCCTTTTTAGAGTGATTCTTTAAAAGCTGTAGGGATACATATGTATGTATAAGTTTTGTATTTGTAAGTAGTGTGTGAATATGATAGAGATGCGGTAAAAATAAAAATAAATCTTTTTTTTTTTTTTTTTTGTCTTACAGTGCGGTGAGAAAGGACACTACGCTAACAGATGTACAAAAGGTCACCTTGCATTCCTGAGTGGGCAGTAACTCACAAACTGTGTTTGGATGATTTAAAAAAACTGAGATCTTTAAAGATATTGTGGGCGGATAATTTCACTTTTTTTTTTATCAATTAGTTTGTTTTTTAATTTGTCTTTTGAATTCAGGATTTTTCCTGATTTTGATGTAAATATGAGTGATTCTAATGTTTTGTTCAGAACTGTTTATAAAGATTCTCCTCCTGTGCTGAGAAATATTGGCAGTAAATTAGTTTTGCCAATTATTTTTTTAAATAAATAATGTAAATTCTTGTTGTGTTTTCTTTCTTTAAGTATTTAAAAAAAAAAAAGCAAAAAAACCACAAATGAAACTCATGGATACACAGAATTATTTCCAATCTACTGCAGACACATAGTATTTAACCCATTAAGGACCACACTTCTGGAATAAAAGGGAATCATGACATGTCATGTGTCCTTAAGGTGTTAAAAACCAAAGAAAAAGTTACTTGCGCACTATCCTAGGTCTTAATGCACATTTAAATAACTGGATATTTTTTAGTTTCATTCCAATGGCCATTAATCGGTAGGCTCACCTGCCACATCAAGGTAAACCTCTTAAGTGAGTACTACACTAACAATTCAGTGCAAATTCTGGAGTATACTTTACCAGTTGACACTTTCTTGGCTGGAACCAGAGAATCTATGACCTTGGGAATTAAGACATAATGCTGTGAGCTTGATGGTTTTCTAGGACTATTTTCTGCAGAACTTTTGGAATCAAAGGGATTGGTGGAAAGACGAAAATCCCAAAGAATCAATAGGGCAAATATAAAGTCTGGATTCTCTGAACCATTGATTGAGGCAACTTATGGACTTTCTTGTTGATTCTTTAAACCATAATCTATGTTTGGTTCGCCGAATAGAATTACTACTTCTATAAATGTCTGAGGCAATTACCCTAACATTCTAATCGGTCGGCTGGGTGGCCATCGCTCGAATGGACGAACACAAGATGGTGGATATCTTGCTCTCGCAAATGCCTACAGTGGTGTTTGGTAGTCGAGTGTATGAAACTTATCAGGCACTCGACTGTGCGAACACCGCTGGGACTTCCACCCCCCACAGGTGTTAGGTTCCATTCGTCTGAGAAGAGCGGCGTTCGGTGGGAGCAAATTCTCAAATGAAGGGCACACGACCAATGTTCGGACGAACAGTTATCTTTGTTAAAACAAAGAGAACGTTACATGTGCTCTGGCCTAAATCCCCATGTACATTTAAACAAAATGGAGGCTCTTTAGTTTTATTCCAATGGCCATTTGAATATATAAGCTCACCTGCCACACCAAGGCAAGCCTCAATAGTTGAGTTCCTACACTAGCCATTAGATATGCTGATATCAGCCAAGAATCTCCAGTGAGACAGGAAGTGGTATTTTATATGTAATAGGAAACCTCGTGCATAAAGGGCCAGTTGTGGCTGCCATTAAAACAGTTCCCCTTCACCCTCAACACAGAGCCTCGTCTCGTGCTTGTAGGGAACAGCAATACCTGCTTTAATTACCGCTTGGGAATACTACAGCATTACTCATACTAGGGGGAGAGAACATCTCTGGCGGTGGAAACCCCTCTTCTCTCGGGGTTGCCATCACAATTATGTGCTTCCCCCCTATTTGGAACACTCAGGTAGACCCGGCTTGACCTTTTTCGGGTCAACTTGGGGATGTCCGGACTTCTGCTAAGTGCTGAGTTCTGTTTATCGAGACAACCCGTCGGGTTGCCATTCTGCTTGGTGAATTTTTGTAGGGCTGAAGTGCCAAGCTCCACCGCAACAGTCTGCCATTGTTGCGTGCAACCCAGTTAAGCCACACCAACGGGTTGTGGTCAGTAATCAGCATAAATTCCCGTCCGTATAGGTAAGGGGTCAGTTTCTTCAAGGCAAGACACTCCTTCTCTACGGCCATGTAGCTCACCTCCCGGGGTAATAGCTTAATACATGGAAGCGTCTGCTGAGGTACACGACAGGGTGCTCTCCTCCATCTTCTCCAATTTGGCCTAAAACTGCCCCCAGCCCAAACATGGAAGCGTCTGTGTGGACCATAAAACGTTTGATAGGAACTGGGGCAACCAAGACAGCTTCACATGTGGGAGACCACAGGACCTGCCTAGGGAAACTTTTCTTGGTCAAGTCAGTTAGGGGTTTGGCCATACTACTGTAGTCACGAACTGTCTATAACACCCGGCGGTCCCCAGGAAGGCCAATACTTGGGTCTTGGGGAGGGGGGTGGGGGGGGGCAGTTAGCGACCGCTTCTATCTTAGCAGGTTTTTGTTGCCGTTTCCCACACCCCACCCGGTGTCCCAAATACTGGACTTCTGCCATACCAAGGTGGCATTTGTCTGGCTGTACTGTCCCTACACAAACTAAGTGTTTCTCCCTGGACTCACTGTTGATCGCAATGTCGTCCAGGTATGCACAGGCGAAATCCTGTAAGCCATGGAAGAGCCTATCCACCAAGCGCTGAAAGATGGCTGGGCCATTCTTCATCCCGAAGATAGCATCCCCTGGCTATACGATCTAAAAGTTAATCTACCCGGGGCTTCTGGTAGGTGTTTGTCACGGTCCGCTCTTTCAGTCACTGGTAGTCAATGCAGGACCATGTGGTTCCATTTTTCTTGGGTACGAGGACTACCGGCGAAGCCCACGGACTATCTGAGGGTTCATTAACCCCTAGCTTCAACATTTCCCGTATTTCTCCCAGCATTCCATCTTGGACCGCTTTAGGAATATGCAAATGAGAAAAGAATGTAGCGCTTAGATAATCAATAAATAAATTTTTTCACCTTTTAGTTTTGTTTGAAGGAAGATTTTCCCTTGTATAACATATGTATGGATATATAATGTAACGGCACCCCAAGTCATAAAAGGGGTTAAAAGCCATTTAGAGGATATTCCCTTCCAGATATACAGGCAGCTCCTGCAGAACACCAATCTCCCGAACTGGAAACACACGAATGCTTCAAACTCCCGAAATGGAACCATACGAATACTGCAAACAGGCGAACAGGAAAAACCATACGAACAGTTTACACTCCTGGCAATCGGTCTGAAGCAGCATACAGTAAATACCCCCCATGAACGAGACAAGGCTCCGTGTTGGGAGTCAAGCGGTGGTCTCATTTTGCGGGGGTCATCCCAGTCTTGCATACCCTCCCTCCAGTCAAAAATATCTTGGAACCGGGTCTTGTCAGGGCTCCCAAAGTCAGGTTCTGTGAAAGCTTCCCACAGCAAGCCAGGGCCATTAAACTCTTCTCCCTCTGGGTTATCATGCTCCACTGTCCAGGGTGTATACCGAACTGTATACCACCAGAGTGCCTGGTAGGCATCCTCTAGCCATAGCTCCTGCCATACCTGGTGCTCGAGCTCCTTTTCCTATTGCTCCAGGGGTTGTTCTCCCAGGAAGGGCATCCGTAGTGCCAGTCGCGTTTGCTGTCGCTGCTCCTCGCTGGGGAGTCCCTCGCCCCGTTGATACTGTACGTTATCCAGTGCCTGGTACCAGATGCCTTTCCTTATTGCATCCCAGCCATCCAGGTCTTCCTCCTCATATGGAAATGCTGTTTGGGTCCAGCCTGGTTCCATCCTGCTGCTGTCAGGGTCGCTGTACTGAGACATGCGTTGCCCTCAAATTACAAATCCAGGAAATTGTGTTGCCTTGTAGCTGTCCTTCTGGGCTGTGAGAACCATCCCGTCGCTTACCAACAATTGTAATGGCACCCCCAGGCATTAAAGGGGTTAAAAGCCGTTTAGTAGATATTCCTTTCCAGATTCACAGGCAGCTACTGCAGAACACCAATCTCCCGAACTGGAAACACACGAATGCTTCAAACTCCCGAACCGGAACCATACAAATGCTTCAAATTCCCGAACTGGAACCATACGAATACTGCGAACAGGAAAAACCATACAAACAGTTTACACTCCTGGCAATCGGTCTGAAGCAGCATACAGTAAATCCCCCCCCAATAACGAGACAAGGCTCCGTTGAGGGTCAGGCAGTGGTCTGATTTAATGGGGCTACCTGCCCGGTATTTATGCAGGTCTTTCACCTGCTGGACACTCCCTTAGGGGGACAGATGGAAGAATGGGACACAAATGGTAAACTGACCAATCACAGGCATACAGGGTTAAAACACTCCCACAGTACATTACAATCCCTCTCCTCTATCCTGTAGATAATTGGGAAGTAATCCAATTATCTCCAAGGACAGAGGCAAAACTCCATTAACCACATGGCAGTAAAAAGACATAAAAATATATAACTGTGCAGCCATTGCATAAAACAGGTACATTCAGATAGCTTACATCTGAGCGCACATTATTACCGAATGGTGCTCAGATCACATACATACAGTTCAATCGCCATGGAGCCAAAGTCTTTCACATAGTCTTTCTGTATATGAATAGGCTCCATGCCATAGCTATCTGGGGTAACACTGTTCACACATTAAAATACCGAATGGACCGGCGTTCAGATAAACGACTGAAGGCAGGAGAAGGGAGGTCGGCGGCTCAGCGGTGTTCGTGCATTTAACTGTCCATTTTGAGTTCCACAGGTTTGGAGCTGAACCCCGCTGGCCATTCGGGAGTTTAAGATGGCCGCTGCCACGTGTTCGACTATACGAACAGCGGCCACCCAGCGTCCATCTATTAAGCTGCGGTTAACCGCAGCTTCTGGGAGGTAAATCACTGGCACACTCCTTACCCAGGTGGTCCGTTCATTCGGGAGTTGGTTTGGTAGATTCAATCTATCGAACAAGCCTTTCTGCAGGGGAAAATACAAGCTTTTAAAATGGGGCCATAGTCCAGAGGCAGCAGGTGAGCAACCAGGCTTCTCCATAGTGGCGAGGTTGGTTCTGCCACATATAACAAATATGTATGGATATATAACAAATATGTATGGAGCCTATCCACCAAGCGCCAAAGATAGCGTCCCCTGGCTATACGATCTAAAAGTTTATCTACCCGGGGCTTTGGGTAGGCATTTGTCATGGTCCGCTTGTTCAGTCGCCGGTAGTCAATGCAGAACCATGTGGTTCCATTTTTCTTCGGTACGAGGACTACCGGCGAAGCCCACGGACTATCTGAGGGTTCAATAACCCCTAGCTTCAACATTTCCTGTATTTCTCCCAGCATTCCATCTCGGACCGCTTCAGGAATATGCAAACAAGAAAAGAATGTAGTGCTTAGATAATCAATAAATAAATTAATCACCTTTTAATTTTGTTTGAAGGAAGATTTTCCCTTGTAAAACAAA